AAATCTGACACAAAGCCTTTTTACTCATGTTTGTCTGTTATATTCCCATTATACATCCTTCAAACAGCAGACATATCTAATTATACAGAATAAACACAATTGTATTCCAATTAGTATTATTATTGCCAGGAAGGCAGTGTTTACTGTCTGATTCTAATCAGCATCTGTCAGCTGCAACAACACAACATGTATGAAGTCTTTCCCTTTCAGATAATTGACCGTCTTTCGAGCGTCCCGAAGGCAACAGGTCTCTGTTCCATCTGCAGGCTGTAAGTGACAACCATTGTCAGTGTGTGATTACAAATAACAAATGCAGCGGTATCCTACATTTTGTACATACGGCACCTGTACTCTTGTCACGTAAAGCTGGCCGGTCAAATTTTGGTGTTCTTCACAGCCTCCCAGTTTATGCAGCACAATTACCAGCAGTGTTAGAGGTGACATTTAATGCCATGATCTGACTACATGATATTGTTAATTTTGTTAATGATCCTAACCCAATGTGCGTCTTGTGCTGTGTGATGTGTATTCTACGTTAGTATTCCTAGACATACTGAAGATGTAATTACAAATTTTAATCAGTTTCTTGGCCTATCACAGTAGAGAGAGACTGGAAAGCCAGAGGAGAGAGAGGGGATGACATGCAGCAAATGTCCATAGGCAGGACTCGAACCTGGACCGCTGCAGTAAGGACTCAGCCTTCACACAGGGGTGTCTTAACAGGCAAAGAGAGCGTGATGGTCCAGAGAGCTCAAGATTGAACGAAAAGGGTGGGACCAGTGTTTTTTTTTACAACCAAGTTCCATTCTAGTGATAAACACATTTAACCTCTCATAATTTCTTCACAATAAAAGTATCCAGATATTTTGTTTTTTAAACGCTTTAATTATGAAGCAGCCAAATAAGGAAATGTTGGGTTTTCATCGGAAGTAACTTAACACGACTCCTATACAGCTGAAAGTGTACATGAAACAGTAAAATAAAGCAGATATCTCAAGGTACAAACAGGGACGCAGGAGAGAAATTAAACTTCAAACTAAAGAGATGCCGTTAGAAGCCACAAAGGTATTGAGAGCTGAACACTAGGAGACTTTTAAAAACATATGTCTGTCTGGTCTCCTGTACAGACAGGAGTTGAGTCTCGGAACACACTCATGTTTTCTGAGGGGGACAAGGGGGAATGTCACAGTTTGGCCACAGTCGGTGAGACATCACCGCAGCCCACTTAGAGGCCAGTCGGACAAACTTTGACTGTACTCCAGAGAAGGTCCATCTCGGGCAAAACTTGGCACAACTCGGGACATTTAAACTAGTGATGGTTTTATTCGGCGCGGCCAAAAGTGCTAATGGAAAAGCATTTTAAGTGTTATGGTCAAAAATGTGATTTTAGTGCATATAAGAGGTGATTTATTTATTGTTTGTGCAGTAGGTGACATTGTAGTGTTTTTATGCTAGTGCGAATTGAAGAAGACTAGCATGCTGTGCAGAGTGGTCAATTGTGGATTCAAAACGATTAGAAAAAAATTAGAAAATTCTTGTAAAAGGGAATGCTGTTTGCTGACTTACAGTAATGTTAGCTTGTCACAGACAAAGCAGGGGCACGAGAAAATGGTTAATGGTAAATGGACCTGTCCTTGTATATTCCGACCACTCAAAACGCTTTTACACTACATGCCACATTCGCCCCTTTCACACACATTCACACAGCGATGGCAAAGCCCATCAAACAGAAACGCATTCATACACATTCACACAGCATCGGGAGCAATTCGGGGTTCAGTATCTTGCTCAAGGATACTTCGACATGTGGCAGGAGGCCGGGGATCGAACCAACAACCTTCCGATTAGGGGACGACCCGCTCTAATTCAGACAAATTATGTGTTAGTTCCAATGTGTTAGGACTTGATTTGAGCTGTAGACAGCTGTAAGAATTTAAAATGTATTGTCTGAGAAAAGGCAATACACAGACACTCAAACACAGTGTTGCAGTGTTACAGATACCACTGATCCTCAAACACAACTCATCTGGTAAGTCAGGAGAACTGACAGCCATGCCAGCCCCCGCCCCCACCACTCACACACACACACACACACACACACACACACACACACACACGCACACGCACACACACACGCACACACACACACACACACACACACACACACAATCCCATCTGGATTACTGATTATACTAAATTATGTTGAGATTATGTCTCATGCTGGCACTGGCATAAGAAGCTGGCTGATGAATGGCTTCACTGTATCTTTCTGACCTCCAATACAAAATAGAAAACATCCGGTGACATTTGAAAGACTAAACCAGAAAACACAAATTAAACATGTTAAGTAGGGCAAAGAAAATCCGTACACATGTATGTGTGATGACATCCAGTGCATTCGTCATGATTCAGTTCAATATCAGACACAAATCCACTTCCCAAGCATGAAAAGTGGGTGGACTGCAGACAGTGACTCCAACTACAAATCCCACGTCAGAAAGCAGTTTTTATAATACCCTTTTATAAAACCCTCCCTAAGTGCAGCCCCTTTCTGCTCTGTGCTCCAATACCAGTTGAGGAAGCTATGTCAGGACCCTTCCTTTCCTTTCTCCTTTCCTGTACTTAGATATACTATGTGCTAGGCTCTTCTATTGAAAAGACAACCACACTTTGAAGATGGTTTACATATAAAAGCGACATATAGGAGGTGGACATTCACATCAGACACCTGAGATGATCTTTGAATAGAGACAGACCAATCACATGATGTCAACTAAACCATCACCATGACAAGTGCAGCTCCATCTATTGATGAACGTCATGAGATGTGTTTGAAAGCTCCAGAAAAAAGGTTAGACCTTGTGATGGGAATAAATGTAGCTTTATATTTCAGTTGCACACTGAATGCTCAAATGAATTGTCAATACAAAATGTCATGCATCTGTCACTGCAATATTACATTTCAGCATTTTACCAACTACAACTTCAATTACAGCTGCAAAGTGGTTAAAGTTTTCACTCTGCTGCACTAATATAGAAGTGCACTCAGTGATCCTGGGTGTGGTCAGAGGGGCAGTGGACTTAAAATATTCAACCAAAAGGTCAGGTCAGCGAGACAATGCTGGTGTTAAGTTACTCTAAACAATTCAGTCTCTGTATTCATCAGCTGTGTAGGATTTTATGACAACAAAAAATTATAGATAACATCCAGACACAGCAGGTTTGCTGGGAGCAGCGAGAGGGCTGCTGTTAAGGGAGTGTCCTGTTTACGGAGAAGGAGGGACTACAATCAGATTAGAGACTATAACACACCAACAGTTTCTAAGGCAACAGTCGGGCAATATCATTCATGGAGAAATCAAGTGCTACAGCGTTAATGTTGACAATACAGTGGGCTGAAATGTGCAAGTCTTCTGAAACAACAGAGCAGGAACAGTTGCTAAAATCTGTTTCACATTATATCCTTCAACTGCTTGCTAGACAAATTGACTTCATATTGGAGAAGCTGCTGGTAAATTAATTGTTGAGGTTAAAAGACTTAAAAATATCTGGCTGGGATCCAATACAGAGCCGTGAGAAGATTCCACTTCCTGTGTTACCTGGTGGTAATGGAGGGGAAATCCTTTTGAAAACAACACAACTAAACTTCCTGAATCCTTACAGAGGGTTTCATGTGAAAGATTGTACGTAACTGACAATGATCTGGCAACAGATCATTTTATGGTAAGCTATAATGACAGTTAGGACCAGAATGCTTTGTTCAAGTAAAAGTGCTGTAACTTGAAATAATGTTTTGTTAAGTGAAAGTACTTACAATTAACTGTAAAACTGTGTAAAAAAGTACTCAGATAGCTCAGTTAAAATAAAAGAGGGGGTTATGTTAATGATATTGTGATAGAACTAATAAATTAACTAACACCTTTAATCTATCTCCTGTCACCTGATATTAGTATAAAATATTGGTTTTGTGATAACACAATTGATCGCTTCCGGTGTGAATTCAGTCTTTGAGCAAGAAGCCTGGACAAGAGACTGAATGAACACCGGAAACAGATAACATCAGCTGTCTGTAAACATCATTCAAACTAAAACTTAATTGTGTACACAAGACAGAAACATGTAATCAGATTCATAAATACATACGTTATTACATTTTGCATATCAATATCTAGTCTGCTTCATTAGTTTTTAAATGAAAAGAAGCAGTGCAGTTTAAATTGTCTTGTATTGGCAAGGTTCTAAAAGAATGTGAAAGCAGCTGTCACAGCTCAGGCTATGTCATTAGATTATCACAAATACCTGTACCAGTGATATCTGAATCACCTTCTTATTACATCAGAAAAGTAAAAAATAATTATCGCTCATATCAAAAGTGATGTGTGCATATGGACCCATTCAATATCTAGTCCCAAGAGGTCAGTGAATGAACGGAGAAAGATCAAGGTGACCATTGATGACATCCAACACCATATGTGTGAATTAAGAGTTTATTTCCACCAATCGAGAGTTTGTGAGCATTGGGACAGTTGAAAGACAGTTTCGGTGAGTGTTTTTAGTTTCTGTCTGCTCTGAATGAAGTTATTAATTATAGTTAATGTTTCAATGACATGTGATGTAAAGTTAATGGCAGCCATTGTAGCCGATTTTGTGTCTATTTAATAATGAATCTATTTAAAGTGAATTAAGGGCTTATTTGGACTAAACCAGTGTAAATCATTGTTGGAAAGATTAACAAAGACGGTTTGTGAGTTCTATTTTGTTTCATTCCATTCAAGTTAATTTCGTATTTATAACCTTTAACCTTTTCACTTTGAATAAATAGCAAATACACATAAACATGACAGCACCTCTACACACGTGCTCAGCGTCATGTGACACACAGTAACATGGTCACCAAGGAAACCTAGTGAGGAACGAGCTACAGTGTAACATTCTGGTAAAACAGGTTAGCAGGAAGTGGAGCACATTCCACTTTTCTGTTGGTTTTTAGTGTTTCCTACCTGTAGGACACCTGCTTCCTGAAGGTCAGCTGGACAAACTCTGCCTCCATCTGAGACAGCTGGCCGTCCTCCTCCTCTGTCCCCTCCACCTTCTTCTCTCCTGGCACCTAAAATAAATATAAATAAATTCCTGCTTTTCCAAAGCAAGTTGACTGAGCTCAGACAAGTGGGTTTTGACAATGTTGGCTGTAGGTAGATAGAAGGAAGCACACTTTCACAGACCGGTGAACACCCCCGCACCCACCCACCTGACAGCTGCCGAGCCCCAGCGTGCTCTTGCTTCCCTCCGCGGTGAATACGTCCTCCTCCTCGGCCACGTCCTCCAGCGCAGGCCGCTCCACAACCGGAGAAGTGGAGTCTCTCAACATCCCTGCGGTCTTTCTGTTCCCTTTGTTTAACGATTAATACTGTTACAATGTGGTAAAAAAAAAAATATCCGCGCTCCGTTGACTCAGCCGCTTCCTGCTGTGTTCCTGTTTTTTTTTTTAGAAGTTACTATTTTAGTGCGTATTTAAATGAAGCTCGGCTCTGTCAAATCGCTCTGTTAAATAAACCGCAACACGGCAGTTGTATCGGTGTATCAGGTCAGTCAGGACACCAGCTTACTGTCGCAGATCCACTGTATGCCCACGAGCTCCTCCTCACGCGGTAATGGAAAAGTTGTCGGTGGTAGCTGAGCGGTGTTCTGGTCCGTCGTACATCTAGATGTTGCAGGAAATCAGCTGTGAGCTCTCCCTCTCTATCTGTATACCTCCCCGTATCTGTGTGTGTGTGTGTGTGTGTGTGTGTGCGTGCGTGTTTGATTGTGTGTGCAGTGGCGGACTCCGCCTGTTTGACGGCACGGGCTAAATAAAAAAGGCACCAGCTTGTAGACTGTTATGATGCATTTATCGTGAAACAGTTTAGTCAGGGTAAGCACCCCGAAGGACACTTCATGATCTATTGTCCACTGGAAGGATGCCACTTCATCACACAGTTTGAAGGGGCGGGGCTACGTGACATCACAAATACTTTGGAAGTCAACTCTGGTCAATTTATACATGTGTAATGTAGAAACTTGAAGCCTTCAGTGCACATACACTGAGAATGGACTAGTAAAAGACATGTTGTCAGCACCATAATGCAAACACATGAGGCCCCTTACAGAGCAGGCAAATTTAACCATCTTTCATAGAGAGTATTTATTTGTCGGGGGCACACCAGGCTCTCCCACATCTGGTGCCGAGGCTGCAGGGCGCACTATGGCTGCACTTGTTTTCACTTAATGCTGAAGCTATGGGGGCAGCAGGGCACATATTTTCTTCACCCTATAAAAACATTTAATTGTCATTTAAATTTGCATATTCATAGATTATGGAATCTTTAACGAGGTAGAATGAGTAAATGTCTTTTTTTGCTGAAAAACATTGATCGTTGAAGTCAGGTTGTCTCACTTAGCATGACTGCAGGCACAGAATGTGTTGCAAGCACAGGTAACAAATTTTTTTTTTTTGCGCCCATGTTAACCTATTGGGCTGTTTTAGACTCTGTGGCTGGCTCGCAACCTGAAGAGATAGTTTCGGCATCTCTTCTGTCTTTTTCACACACTGCGTTCAGATCTGGCAAGAAAATACACTGTGGGCCAATAAAAACAATGATAAAAAATAAATGTTGCAGCAGGCACAGGTTTTGGAGATGGGACCACACCGAACAGATTTGGAGAAACAGAAACCACATAGAGACAGATTAGTCCCTTGCCTGGCTTCCTGATTTATATTTGTTTAGAAAATAATTTGCCTTAGTTTTATCCATTCAAACCTGTGAATGGGGGAACGGCTAATTGGTATTCAGCTTTGTATCTTTGTATCTCTCAAAATCCACTTCTCTTGGATGTTGTAGGGCAACTTGTCTACAATGGGTAAAATACCACAGGCAGTCAACATGGCTTATTCCAACTCTTGGAGAAGGCATAGACTGTATAAATAAAAATGGACATAGTTTCCGTGATGTCACCCATAGGTTTCTGAAGAGCCGTTGTAAAGCTCAGTATGGTCAGCTCTGGCCATCGCCATCTTGGCAGTCCTGTCTCTGCCGCCCCAAAGCAAACATGTTCTTAATTATGCATACATTTAAGCCTTAATATAATTTAAATACGTGAGTTATATAACCCCACCACCCAACCCCAATCTGATCTGCTGATCTTTGGAAAGTTCTCCAGGCTGTCAAAGCCTGGAGAAAAGCGGTTAAATCTGAAGACCTAAACCACTCTTTTAAGTGTTCCTAAGCTTTGAATACACTGAGAGATGGCTGGCCTGAATGCACTGCTCTTACTTCTCAGGCACAGGTGCAGGTGTTAAAGTTGTGATCCTTTCACCCAGCTTATACAGTCATAGCTTCATCACATAGCTTCCAGAAAACAAATGTAAGACATTTTTGGACTCCATTTTTACTTAAAGTCTTAGGTGTGCTACCACACAGTTCTACTAACAAGCAGCCTGTTCAGGATCTAGGAGACCACCAGGGATCCATCCACCTACAGCTCTTTCCCCAGCCACTGGGCCTGAATCAAACACTAAAAAGATCATAGAATATGAATTACGTAAGTGTGCAACCACCCAGAAGTATGCCTAGTTTAGTTCTGTATGTGGCGGATGGTATTATGAGTGTAGGCATGATAATCAATACCTACAGACTTCATACTCCTTTCTACTTGAACATTCAGAGAATATTATATAATTGTTATATAACTGTGTCAAATAACACAACATATAGGACTGCTCAGATCAGTGTGTATTTCAAACGATAAAAGATCTGACAAGAATTATGTTTTTTATCATTAGGTTAACATCTGTTGAGTCCAAGCTCTCGTCTTAGAGCTATGATGGTAAATAGTCGAGGGGAATGCTGCAGAAATTATTCCTTCCTTCCTGCTGTTCATGAGTGAAGTCTATATGAACAGACTCAACCTAATGTTGAGGTATTCAGGACAAGTGTGTATAAATGCTCTAAAAGCTAAGCACTCACAAGCCTTTATTGTACCTCAGTGCAGTAAACACAGGACCCGGTTCTATCTGAGGGCAGCACACCTCAGCTGGGTGCAGTATGGAGTTATACACACATCTGGATGGGATGACAGTGATATAGTATACACTCACACACACATTCACGCATGCATACACAGTAGCTTTAAACTAGCCCTGCATATAAGAGGTGATAGGCAATGGGAAGTTGTCCTAGTTTAAATCTCTAGGATATCTATCTGGGTCAGGGATGTTTTGGAGTTTACAGAAAGAGAAGGTGATATGATGTCAGTCCAGCAGGGGACAGCAGAACCTAGCCTCTCTGGGAGTGACCTGACTGTGGAGAGAAACTCTCAAAGAGCAGGAATATCTAAGTTTCAAATACATACAATATATACGTCGACAAGTGGTGGACGGAGTGGGCAGGGGAGTCCAGTGGATAAAACCCAATAAAGTGCACTCTTGAATGCCTTTCCAGTGGAGTAAACATGATAAATGACATTTTAGGGTGCTAACACTAACCCTGACTAAGGTGTTATTATTATTTTAATAAAAATCTTTCCAAAAATATGTATCTACTATTTTATAGCCAAATAAATCTATCAAACCTGCCTCATCACTACTGATGGAGAAGAAATGTTCTATCATGTCAATTTCCTGAATTTCCTTCTTGCACAACACGAGAAGCTGAAGAAAACACAGAAAATGGCACGTGCCTGTTATAAAACATGTACAATAAATAGATCTCTTCCCAATGCAATTCTTGTGTGCCAAAAGTTCAGCCTTTTACCTGAGCTCTAGGAGACAGGTTTGTGTAAGAAACAGTTTGCAGCATGAAGAGGAGTGGTTACAGCAACTGGTTGTGATGCACTGGGTTGCCATTAAATCACAGTTACAAATTATAAGTTTGTAACATTTAGAAAGAGCTATTAGCAGAAACTGAATATAATATAAGGTAGGTTTTCATTAGTGTATAATCACCTAAAAATAAGAAATGTTGTGTTTTTGTTCCCTTAGAATGAGCTGTTTTTATGTAAAGAGGGAGCAGGTCCTCTTCTGTAGGCTGCCATGTTGAACAACCATGTTTCTACAGTAGCCCAGAAAAGACAAACTGGCAGTAGATAGGGGCTTTCGCTTTTTTCACAAGTTTCACGGTTATTGTCATTCAGTTGGTTGCAATCTGCAACTTCACCACTAGATGCCACTAAATCCTACACACTCCTCCCGAATTTTACACGCTGGACCTTTAAGTCAAAGCCACAGATGAAGGTCAGGTCATCCTGTTGGACTCCTTCTGCACAGTGAGTTTAATTTGCTTCCATCAAGGTGACCCAAACAGATTTCTTTTATTATTGGCCTTTAAACAGAATGTGATTTGGCCTGTTACTAGCTGTCGATGTGATACTTCCTCTGATGGTTTTAGAGAGAGATGCTTTATAATGAGCAGAAATCAGTGAATGAGTATGAGCATGTCCAACCCACCAGGTTGCCAGGTTGTCGGCCAAAACAGCTTTTCAGAGCTGTGGAAACCGGGAGCACACAGGCATTGTCTGTCCCATTGATAAAAAACCGGAATGCTGACTCTGCTGAACTGCAGCCAGTCTAATGGCATCTACGTCCGGTCTGCAGCAGCTAGCGACCCCGAACCCCAACAACCTCCCCAAACTGCACCTAAAACAGCCCCAACCCCGGCTGCTTGGCCCAGTTGCTCTTGGCCTGTGGGTACATGGAGCGGCTAAGCCCCTGTGCTGGCTGGCCAAAGCCCTGTGGGATTAGACTAATGCCGGCAACGGGAAGCCACTGATGGTGAAACAACAGGCATGGGAAGTGACCCCTATCTTTAAATTAGAATTCACTCTTAGCTACTATCTACGGCCTGTTGTCGTTAATTTAAGTTATTGTATCTTTATATACTGTATATGTGAGTTGTAAAATGATTCTTTAGGTTGTGCATCTCTAACAGTCTGCATTCATCAGTAGAACACTGAGAGAGTATACATAATTTGAATTTTCTACACAAAAATGACAGCACTCAACTTTGAACTGCATCCTTACTGTTTGAACACATGTCCTCACAATGAACATATATATGAAAACATTAAAAAACCCAACCACAAAGTAAGGCAAGGCTTCTTTATTTGTATAGCACCTTTCAACAATAAGGTAATTAAATATATGTATGTAAAATCTTCTATATAGACATATAAGGCCATTTAGACAAGATAAAAGAAAGCACTCGTGGAGCGGTAATTTTGAAAGCAGACTGAAGTCAGGCCTTGGAAGGGAGCTGGCCAGCTATCACCTGATTGTCGAGCTTACACCATGCAACCCTTTCAGGCTTAGCCCAAAGGAATGGAGGAGGTATTCAGATCCTTTACTTAAAGGTCCAGTGTGTAGGATTTAGTGGCATCTAATGGTGTAGTTGCAGATCCTAACTCGTCTGCTTCACCCTCCCCTTCCAAGCCCAAAGGAGAAACTATGGTGCCTTGGGATAATGTAAGCACACAACTTAACAATATATATAATATAGGTCTTGTGTTTATAGACATTTTAATATTACCTGTATTGCTTTAAAGATGGGCATTTAACTGTTCATTAGTGAGTTGATGTAAATTGGATGTAGTTTTGTTCTTAAACAAATAAGAAAAGTAAATATTACAGAGTCTGCAGCAAGAGGGCCTCCCATTAGCTCCCTTTAATTGGGCCAGTTAATGAACTATTTCCATTTTAGGCTTTAAAATAGCATAATGATTTCCATTTGAAAACCCCAATGTTAGCTGTTTTAAGGCTGCTATTCTTTCAACTGGAGTGATGGATATCAGTAATATGTTACTAATACATTTGCACCCCATCCATCTGTTCTCTCTGTGTCAGTTGTTGTTGCTCCATTGACCCTGGGCAGCATTGTTTCTAAATCTGCCCTCCGTCCAACTACACAGGCAGAACAATACAGCAGCATTATGTCACTGACTGACTGACAGAATAGATATGTGTGTATCTTTTTGATGCATTATCACTCAGGTAAAATCCCTCTGTGTCTTTAGTTTGCTTCCTGACATCATTGTCTCTGTCATGCCCTCCTCTTCGTCCAGCAGGGTTTGTTTTGGCAGCCATGGGTGTCTGGTGTGTGGGTGGCACTGGGTCGCACCAGGGTCTGGACCCAGTGGTGCCCCCCCGATCCTCAACCCTGATTCTGCTGACAGGGTCCAACACACCATGAGATAATGTCATTCCAGAGGGATCGTGGCTAAAGCCTCTCTTTCTGGCTCTCAGGTATATAAAGAGGAGGCAGCTGTAGAGCAGAGGACAAAGCACTCTGGAAACATTTTTCACTCATTGCTTTTCATCCAGATTCTGTTCTCTCTACCTTGCCTCGCCTCCCTTGCTTCACCTGCTGGACTCTGAGCTGAGCAGGTACGTCTGCCAACCTGAGCCAAGCCAAGCCGAGCTAGACCAAATTCTCCAGTCGCTATGGATATTGCCATCCAGCACCCCTGGTTCAGACGTGCCCTGGGCTCTGCCTACCCTGCCCGACTCTTTGACCAGTTTTTTGGAGAGGGCATGTTTGACTACGACCTCTTCCCCTACAGCGCCTCAACCATCAGCCCCTATTACAGACAGTCGCTGTTCCGCAGCTTTTTGGATTCCTCCAACTCTGGCATCTCTGAGGTAACTAAATGAGACTCAGGAAATATACTGAGGCTCTTTAGAGAAATGTGGAGACAAAGTTGGCTTTGTTTATATGTTCATAGGAGAACAGATATATAGAAAGCAAATTATTGTGTCAAAACAAATTTTTAGTAATGTTAAGATAACACCAAAGCTCATCTTAACGTCCTTTAAAATTTTATTCAAAATAGTTATTGTAATTTTTTGTATCTAGTGTTGCAATTTGTTCTTTCCTAAAAAAGGCAAATTCAAACTTTCAATTATAACTATCAATAGTTATGGTAGTTATGAGGTTCTTCTGTCCCCTTTATCATCCACTGTCCTCATTTTTGTGCAGTTATTACATTCATTTGTACTTAAATTTGATATCTTGACTTTGTTTGATTCATTCTTTGAGTTCTCTACATCTAAACCTAAGTTCTACTTCAAGGATTTAAACTTTCAGAGGTTCAGTCTCTTATATATCTCTCAATGGTCCCTCTCTATGCTTGCTGTGTGCCCCTCAGGTGAGGTCTGACAGGGATAAGTTCACACTCTACCTGGACGTCAAGCACTTCTCCCCAGATGACCTCAGTGTGAAGGTCACTGATGACTACGTGGAGATCCAGGGCAAGCATGGAGAAAGACAGGTAGCGCTCCTCTTCTCTCTTGTAAACACACTTGTTCACTTTTGAAAATAGTTATTACGACTATTTAAAACAGCATGGGGTCAATGTATACTGACAGGGGTGTTTGTTATTTTGTTCATTTCCCACCAAAGACCAATGTAACCATGATCAAAAAGCGACTTATAAAATGTAACTGCTTAAAGGTAATACGGTTTGGGTGAGAGCTGGTTTAATGTTTAACAGAACTATAAGAGCTGGCTGGTAAGTATAAAACACTTCTCACCAGGACAAACACTACTGAATGACCAAACTATTATAGGAATACTACAGGCAGCAGTGTGTCTCTGTTATCCTCTCGTTCTTCTGTGACTACACATTGCTACTTGTCACTTTGAGCATGAAGGTGACACTATAGGATATACAATATCAGATCAGAATCAGAATCAGAAATACTTTAATAATCCCCGTGGGGAAATTACTTATATAGTATAATATAGTATAGCTATAGTTCTATAAATATATATATATATATATATATACAACTGACAGACAGGCGGGAGTGAGAGAAAAAAGGCCCTATTACAAATCTGTCTGCTACTTCAGCACCACAGACAGCGCCATTAATTTTTCATACACAGCACAGTTAAGCTACTGATATTTCAGAGCCATGGTCGGATAAAGAATCAATGAGTCAGGCAGAATAGACCAACATATTCAATAATCCCTCTGCCCCTACTCTCTCTCTGCTACAGGGGCATGGAGAGGGTGGATGGCAGGTTGACATGGGGGAGTGCATCCCAACTTAAATCGCCTGCTGCTGAAATGATGTGTTTATGATATGATTTTTTAACAAAATGAGACTGAAGACAAACAATGACTGAAAAAGATTCCTGTATTATACATACAAGAATCTACAAAATGTATTTTCTTATATTATCTTTATCAAGATAAAGAATCCTTTTTTATATCTGAGGTAGGGTTTACATTGTGCAAAACAATGCATATGACATGGGTGACATTGTCAGAAGTAGATAGCACCCTCAGCTGTTTGAAAAGAGTATCACAATTTATTTTTTATCTCACTGATTTGAATATATATGTATATATATATATATCAACTTTATTTTTATGATTTTGTTCAGAACCGACAGGTCACCATGGGCAATAGAACACAGTTCAAATATTATTAGTAGTGCAGTTAGGTTTGTGTAAAGGGTTATATATTATTACTCCCATAGTGAATCTTCATATATTTTTATCACAATTTAACCATCTTGTGATATATCATTACATTCCTGTTTTGTATTGAAATTCTTCCCTAAATGCCTGCACAATAAAACCATGTGAAGGGAATCAAACAGTAGTCTATTCTGGGTGTATCCTACTCTACAGTACATTAGGAAAGACAAACTAGTAAATTTCCAGTAAATGTCCCTAAACAGTGTACAACCGCAACTAGATGACTGTACTCCCATGTCACAATGAACTACATCTAATAGGCCTGTGTGAGGGTTTATGTAACCTCCTGTATTAGCTAGCAAGATCACCTCGTTTCAACAGCACACTTAGAATACACAACATCATGAGGCAAATCCATTATTTTCTTCTTTCAACTGTGAGATTTGTTGAGCTTCAAAATATTAACAGTTTGTTGAACAAAATTAGTAAATGTTATCTTTGCAAAGAGTTGATTTGTATAACAACTGAATTTAATTACTGAAATTGACTTCCTATAATCACTGTGAATCCTGCTGTTTTTCAGGACGACCACGGTTACATCTCTCGTGAGTTTCACCGCCGCTACCGCCTCCCCTCCAGTGTTGAACAGTCAGCAATCACCTGCACCCTGTCATCTGATGGTCTGCTGACCCTGACCGGGCCAAAGGTAATGGGGGGGAGTGAATCTGGCCGCAGCGAGCGCAGCATCCCTGTCAGCCGTGACGACAAGCCCAATGCCGCTGCATCCTCCTAGAGGCCAAGTGGTGGGGGCTGACGAGGGGTGCTGGAGGAGCTTGACACCCCTACAACCTGCATTAACTGGGATGGACGAGAATCTCTATCTCCCAACCCTTGGCTTCTTCTCCCTTTTCTTTAGAGGATATCTGTGTCCTCCTCACTTCACCTTTCTCCTCTATAGATTCTTCTTAGCACACTCTTACAGTATTATTAGTATCATTGTTTTGAGTATAACAAAAATCTCCCCCCGAGGATGGTTAAGTGAAGGGCGGCTGGACTTTTTAAGAAGAAAACTCATCTAAGGACGAGACATTCACATGACCTGATGCTTCATTCTGCTGATTGATCTGTGTCAGAGCAAGCACTCTGGCAGTAAAGATGGTTGGGGTTAAGCTTGGAGGTAAATGTCACAAGTCTTGTCCCAGATTTTTCATCAGTGAAGTTCTGAGGCCCTGGCTGTTTCCATGCTTGTGCTGACTCTTTAAACCCTCTCTTGTCTTAAATATATTCTGTACTGTAGTCTAGGCCTTGTTCAATGGTTAACTGCTCATTACTGAGAAGTCCATACTAAATAAACATACAATAAAGCTGTACAATTAACAAAAAGCAACTCTTGTGAGAATGTATTCTTTACTCTTCACATCAGGTTTCAGTTTAATCAGTGTGGTGCTAATTAACCCTTTCTAAGTCCAGCCCCTTTTTGATCTGTGCTCCAATAACAGTTGAGGAAGCCTCGGCCAACTTTCTGTGTTAGGCTCGTCTACATTGAAAAGACAACCACATTTTAAAGGTGGTTAAAAGATTAAAGTTACATATACATAATCACATCCTAAGTAAATGTTAGCTTACTACCTAACTAACAACTGCTGTAAATAAACTAGTTAGCTAACTTGCGTTTTGCTAACATTAGCTTTCTGATGTAACTATCTCACTGATTACTGTATTACTATACTGTACTGTTTTCAAGAGCATGGAGGAAGCTCCACATGGATTATAAAGTAATAGTGATGGATATCAAACAAATATCACTGAATCAATCTCAGAAACTGAAGGAGAGTGCTCTGAAAGTGTACAAACATAATATTTAATGTGTCTTATACAAACCTGTATTATCATATTCACATTACGTGGGTAGCAAACCAATTAAGAAACAATCATGAACAAATCTGAAGGCTCAACAGTGAACAGTGCAAGTTAAAAAAGTTAGGGAAAAAAAGCAAAAAGTTCAGATATAAACGGTTGTTCCTTTTAATTGAATATATAGGTTTAACTTTGAAACTTTCGTCTTTACTTTCTCTCCTCACTTTGCACATGAAGTGCTAAGAACAGCACAACAGACAGATCTAAAGTGAAAGGGAGGGAAGTTCATATAGGAGGAGAACTGGATTGAAGATACTGAATCCACATCAGAGGGTGCTTTGTTTACATCCCTGATCCTGGAAACACACAAACACTCTTTTTTCATCATTCCACACTTTTATGTCTAGGACACACTTAATTATTGTATTATTATTTTAATTAGACCTTCACTATTTTCACAGTTTACAATATTTAAAATAAACTGACAGATTCTCATTCACTCTCCGTCACTGTTTGCAGTCTTGTCAAAATAGTCTTCACTTAAGTCCCTTTGGGTCTTATTGTTCCTTCACTTGGATGTTTCAGCTTCACTGTGAAGAATAATGTACTGATGTGCTTTCGTGTTTATCTGCTGAATGGGGAGTTTCTTTGTGCTCACATTAAAGATATACTATGCCCGTTGTGTAAACTAGTAAATGCACCATTCAAAGTTGGCCCCTGCTCCCTAACTTGAGCAAGTCAGAAAACACCTTTTTTGGGCAACATAGAGACAACAAATAAGTAGAGGGAGTGTCATAAGCGAGAACAAAGCAGTGAATCGGAGAAATGCAACGCTATTTTCTGACTGAGTCACAGTGGTTCCTTTTTAAAAATAGACACTGCCTCATGTCCGCACAACTTTGCAGGAAGGAGCCAAATTTCTGAATTTTTGTGTTAATGCAGCTGAACTATAGGTCAAAAAGACACAGACACCGAAACTGCAGCTCGTTATGCATCCATGGTACAGTCTGGGAGCAGATGAGAAAGATGGCAATATAACTTGGTTGCTATGTTTTTATAGAGACAGTGGTTTAACATATTTGGTACCTGTTGGAGGGCCTGCAGGTCCTCCAGGGTCTGCTGGGCAGCCAGTCTCAGGCTGGGCTGTGCTGTGGAGGTAAGCCGGCTGACACGAGCCTGGAGGTCTGGATCCAGCAGAGAGGAGCCCAGCAGAAGCAGCACCTCCTCCTCCAACAACACAGACTGCAGGAGACGCAGAGAGTGGAGACACACCTCCCAGTCTCCATCTGTCAGACAGACAGAGCTTTTTAGTAGTGTGGAGGCTGACACCTGCACATTTTTTACAGGAATATAGTCTATATAAAGTTGGTTTGCATAGCCCCATGTGCCATTGCTGACTTAAAGGTCCAGTGTGTAATATTTAGGAGGATCTATTGTCAGAAATGTAATATAATAATTATAGGTGTTTTCATTAGTGTATAATCACCTGAAAATAAGAATCGTCAAACTTCTAATAACTCAGAATGATGCTTCATTCTGCTGATTGATCTGTGTCAGAGCAAGCACTCTGACAGTATAGATGGTTGGGGTTAAGCTTGGAGGTAGTGTTGCTTTCGAAAATTATGACTAAATATCGTCGTCAACAAACCTTTATCACGTGACGGAAATGAGACGAGACACAACGTAAATGGTGGTCATGTGACGAAAACTATAATCAAATATATAATGCAATATTGTTGACGAATAAAAACGGGACTAAATGTGGTTTGCAAAATAAAAACTCTGCTAAAATATCTCTTAATTTTCGTTGACCAAAACGAGACGAGACAAAATGTTATAATGTTATTTTGTCTCGCTAATATTATTATTATTTTGTAACTATTTCTGTTTCCTGAGTCTTGGGGCTGCATCAGCGCACTGTGCAGACGCAGGCGACGTCACTTCCTCAATCCCCACTCGCGGCATTATCTAATTCAATTTTCAATTCAATTCAATTTTATTTGTATAGCACCAATTCATAACAGAAGTTATCTCAGGACACTTTTCAAATAGAGCAGGTCTAGACCAAACTCCTTATAACATTTACAGAGACCCAACACTACCACCATGAGCAACCCTAACCCAACAACAACAGTAGCAACAACCACACTAACAGTAGATGATGACGACGACAACAGCGACGATGGGGGACAATGAGCAGTGACAATAGTAATAATAGTAACTGTAGTAATAATAATATTAATAATAATAATAACAGTAATATCAGTGATATTAGCAATGGCAGTCAAGCAGGACCATGGCAGGAGGCACCACCAGGATCCATGAGAACCTGCGAGACGAGGAAGCACAAGAAGAAGATGCAGCTGCGGTGGGTTAACGTTAGTCACAGACACACATTTTATTTGCACTTTTTTATTATGTTATTGTAGCTCGAGCATTCAAGTCTTGTTTCTCTTTAAGTTAAACTTGAATGTAATGTCAATTTTTTCTGGCATTGTCATTTGAAGCTATTTTATTTATTTATTTTATTTAAATGTATGTGTGTGTACTTCTTACATGTTAAGTAGGTAAAATAAATATGTTGTAAATTCAAATCAGAGCATCCTCCGTGTCTGGAATTGAATGTATTCTTGAGTCTATAAGGTAACAATAATATAATAATAAGATAACCTTGTTCAACTTGTGAAATGGGTGACTTCAAGAAAATTTTGGTTTTGTCTATACTATACTAGGTTCTTTTACTATATTAACTGGATTAAATAGAATTGCATTACTAAAAAGAGACTAAAATACAATTTTCATTGACATAAACTAGAGTAAAATGTCATCAGTTTTCGTCGACTAAAACTAGACGAAAATAGTCATGGATCATAAACTAAAATAAGACTAAAATGCTCAGACTTTTAGTCGACTGAAACTTGACTAGACTAAAAAGAGTATAAACATGACTAAAACTAATAAAAACTAAAATGACAGTTTAACACAAAGACTAGACTAAAACTAAAATTAAAACAGGCTGCCAAAAACAACACTAGTTGGAGGTAAATGTCACAGATCAGTGAAGTTCTGAGGTCTGGCTGCTTCCATTCTTGTGCTGACTCTTTAAACCCTCTCTTGTCTTAAATATATTCTGTACTGTAGTCTAGGCCTTGTTCAATGGTTAACTGCTCATTACTGAGAAGTCCATACTAGAGAAACATACAATAAAGCTGTACAATTAACAAAAAGCAACTCTTGTGAGGATTTATTCTTTACTCTTCACATCAGGTTTCAGTTTAATCAACGTGGTACTAATTGACCGTTCCTAAGTCCAGCCCCTTTTTGATCTGTGCTCCAATAACAGTCGAGGAAGCCTTGGCTAACTTTCTCCTTTCCTGTACTTAGATATGCTATGTGTAAGGCTCGAAATGCTATGTGCTAGGCTCGTCTATATTAATTCAGAATAAACATTTTATATTTACAGATGCTGCGGGTCGCCTTCCATGGAGTCCGCTGTTGAACTGCTGTGTTTCTACAGTAGCCAAGAAGGGACAAACTAAACACTGGCACTAGATAGGAACATTCCGCATTTACCGGCCACTCTAGTTTTTCCTTTGTACTTGGAAAAGGAATGTGAATCAAGGGAGTTGCTGTCTGCAACTACACTGCAAGATGCCACTAAATCCTACACACTGGACCTTTAAGTATATCTATTACTTTTGCACAGAGCTCCTAAGGGGACATGGGCAAACCTCATGCACACTAAAAAGTATCCCATGGGCAGTAGTAACTAGTGTATCTATGGTTCTCAAATGTTTCCTGGCATTAAAAACATTCTTGCACCCCACCCCACATTTTTTTGCAATCATAAACAATGATAGTGCAACCAAAACAAATAAAAAAGTATCCAGGTTGAATTTTGGTGAAGGTCAGCACGATAGCATCAGAAAAAACCTACATAAATCATATTAATTCAACTTTGTTTCACTCCCCTAGTCATCTACACCTCCCCTGCAATAGCTCTATGCCACACCAGGGGGACCCGTCCCACAGAGAACCACTGATATAAATGTTTGACCACAACTGTATACACCAACTATTCAGTGGTCCTTTTATTGTGGAGGCAGTTAGTCATTATACTGTATATAACTATGTTCCATTAACATGTGTGTAATCTCCTTACCATCTAGCAGGCTCCAGATAAGACGCAGGAGGTTCTTACTGATGTACTTCAGTCCTTTAACACTGATGCTGACATTATACAGAGCCATCAGCATCAACCTGTAGCACAAGAGCAAAGTCAGTTTTACTAAAACACTAGTGTGTACTGCAGAAGCACAGCACTGACACCTACTGCCCACATCTAGAGTAACATGCCTGACTGAATCTATGAGTTAATTCGTTTGAGCTTATAATAAGCAGCGCCATAAGTGGTGGGTGTAAATGGTGGCTGGTCTACACTATATAGTGTATATATATATATATATATATATATATACACTATATGGACAAAAGTATTCGGCCACCTGACCATTATACCAACAGGGACTGTAATGACATTATATTCAAATACATATACTTTAATATGGAGTTGGTCCCCCTTTTGCAGCCATACCAGCTTCCACTCTTCTTGGAAGGCTTTCCACAAGATTTTGGAGTGTTTCTGTGGGAATTTGTGCCGATTCATTCTGTAGAGCATTTATGAGGTCAGGCACTGATGTTGGACGAGAAGGCCTGGCTCGCAATCTCCATTCCAGTTCATCCCAAAGGTGCTCAATGGGGTGGAGGTCAGGGCTCTGTGTGGGCCAGTCAAGTTCTTCCACACCAAACTCATCAAACCATGTCTTTATGGACCTTGCTTTGTGTGCTGGGGCACAGTCATGTTGGAACAGAAAAGGGCCTTCCCCAAACTTGGAAGTTGGAAGCATAACATTGTCCAAAATGTCTTGGTATGCTGAAGCATTAACATAGCCCTTCAGTGGAGATAAGGGGCCTAGCCCAAGCCCTGAAAAACAGCCCCATACCATTATCCCTCTTTCACCAAACTTCACAGTTGGCACAATGCAGTCAGGCAGATAACATTCTCTCGGCATCAGCCAAACCCAGACTTAACCATCTGACTGCCAAACAGAGAAGCGTCATTCGTCACTCCACAGAACACGTTTCCACTGCTCCTCAGTCAAGTGACGATGCACTTTACACCACTCCATTCGACGCTTGGCATTGGACTTGATGATGTGAGGCTTGCATGCAGCTGCTCAGCCAGGGAAACCCATTCCATGAACAGTTTTTGTGCTCACATTAATGCAAGTGGAAGTTCGGAACTCTTTAGCTATGGAAAAAGCAGAGCGTTGGCAACTTATACGCGCCATGCGCCTTAGCAGTCGTTGACCAAGCTCTGTGATTTTACGTGGTCTTCCACTACGTGGCTGAGTTGCTGTTGTTCCTAAACGCTTCAACTTTCTAATAATATCACTTACAGTTGACCGTGGAATATCCAGCGGGGATGAAATTTCACAAACAGTCTTATTGCAAAGGTGGCATCCTATCACAGTACCACGCTTGAAGTCACTGAGCTCTTTAGAACGACCCATTTTGCATTACAAATGTTTGCAAATGCAGACTGCATGGCTAGGTACTTGACTTTATAAACCTGTGGCAAGGGGCCTGATTGGGATACCTGAATTCAAGAACTAACAGGTGTGGCCAAATACTTTTGTCCATATAGTGTATACTTTTGTGTAGAACACTGTTGCAATTACACCTATGAGGTTTTAACTTTAAGAGTTCAGTTCATTTATGAAAGTATAGGTTCATCCTTTTAGTTTAGCAACACACAAATGCATTATAAACATTGAGAGAGTTCTTAGTCACAGAAATCATTCCTCCTCTCCATATGGGCCAGAGATGTTCAGTACATGTATGAACAAATCTTAAACTCTTCAAAATATTCAAATTGAGCTCACTATACTCAATCATCAGTCACTGAACGAATCAATAGCTCTTAGCAGAATTTAGACCTCTAATGCTGAGTGTGATGTGATGCATTCAGTGTGCGAGTCCTTGCTCTGTTTAAAAATTATTCTAAAGTTCAGTGTGTGAATTCTGCAGTGTGAGGTAGATTTGTGCTGTTTTCGCAAAACAAACCTACATGGACGTAACACTCCACCAGATGTCGGTACGGAAACACTGTGAAAACCATATGGTGCAAACACAAAATGGGAATTTTGTACTAAAAAGACGACCAGGTACCCACTTGATTTGACTGCTAAAGCCTCATATCATTCAAGTCATATTTATACAAAAAGAGGACTATCCCTCATTTCATACAATGTCATTGCTCTATGAAGGGATCTCTTAAAGGCCAGTGCGGACAGAAAGAGTCATTATAGTGACTGGTGACTCCAGTCTACTAATACATTTCTCTTTCAGGACATGTATCCAATAGTGGTTTGTGTTTTGTATTATACCACTGCCCCACGTACACTTTAAGTTTGGGGAAGACACCGGGCTTCATCAATTCCAGAAGCTTCATCAGAGTGTCAAGCAGGACATGAGCCGAGCTGGACAGGAAGTCCCGCCCACACGTTACTGCTGCTATGTCTGAATGATTGGAAACAAAGACAAGGCAGGTGACTGGGGGACGCCTGCTCTTAGTCACTGTGAGGCACTGACACAATATCAAAAAGAGTACTCGATATACACTTTTTACATACACATTTGACAACATGCTAATGCTAAAGTGCTTTTTGTAAAAACAATGGCAACAACCAATAGAAACAACACATTAATTTGTGGATTAATAATGGTCTAACATTATAAAACTACATTTATTTTCATTATCATAATCCGCTGCTATAACTTAGTGGATTCAGGTAAGGTTCAGTGGTATAAAACGTACTGATGTATAGAAAACATCTGTATTCAAGTGTGCGTTACACACCAATGTGTTGTTATACAGAAGCTATGAACTCACTAGTAATGGTTCCAGCCAGAGCCAACACAAACTGGTGCTCCTGGGAGTTGTGGTCCTCAGTTTGAGTTTTAATTTCTTCGTCCACAGACCTGACAAAGCTCTCCAGAGTCTGAGCAGCTACCGCCAGGAAGGACTGGAGCTTCCCCTGCACCACCACCCACACACACACATAATACACACATCAGACAATACAATTCCACCCATCAGCTGTCAGATATCAAATTATCTCACTGTCATTGGGATGAGTGTAACACACACACAGGCTGACTTGTGGAGATGACTCACATCAGCCAGCCACTGTGTGACCGTGTGCTCCCTGGCACTGCAGCTCCACAGCAGACTGCAGGTTGCAGATCCCAGACCAGAGCAGAAGTCCGCCTGCTGCTGCAATTCTGCAACACTTTGCCACAGCTGCTCACGTAACAGCAGCTTCTCCTACATACAGATACTAAAGTGTTAACACACAGGTGCTCTGATAATAATAATAATGAATTAGGTAAAGCCAATAAACACCATGGTGTTACATATTCTACAGTTAGGTCCACATATATTTGGACACTGACACAAGTTTTGTTATTTTAGCTGTTTACCAAAACATATTCAAGATACAGTTATATATCAATATGGGCTTAAAGTGCAGACTCTCAGCTTTAACTTGAGGGTATTCACATCCAAATTGGAGAGAGGGTTTAGGAATTACAGCTCTTAAATATGTAGCTGCCTCTCTTTCAAGGGACTAAAGGTAATTGGAAAATTGACTCAAAAGCTATTTCATGGGCTGCATGGGGTATTCCCTCATTAATCCATCATCAATAAAGCAGGTAAGAGGTCTGGAGTTCCAGGTGTGGCATTTGCATTTGGAAGCTGTTGCCGTTAACCCACAATATGCGGTCAATGTAAGTGAAACAGATCATCCTTAGACTGGAAAAAAAGAAATCCATCAGAGAGATAGCGGTAATGTTAGGTGTGGCCAAATCAACAGTTTGGTACATCCGGAGAAAAAAAGAGCGCACTGGTGAGCTTGGGAACTCAAAAAGGCCTGGACATCCACGGAAAACAACAGTGGTGGATGACCGCAGGATCATTTCTATGGTGAAGAAAAACCCCTTCACAACATCCACCCAAGTGAAGAACACTCTCCAGGAAGTAGGTGTATCAGTATCTAAGTCTACCATAAAGAGACGACTTCATGAGAGCAAATACAGAGGGTTCCCCACAAGGTGCAAACCATTAATCAGCCTAAAAAATAGAAAATCCAGATTAGACTTTGCCAAAAAACATCTAAAGAAGCCAGCCCAGTTCTGGAACAGCATTCTTTGGACAGATAAAACTAAGATCAACCTGTACCAGAATGATGAGAAGAAGAAAGTATGGAGAAGGCTTGGAACAGCTCATGATCCAAAGCACACTACATCTTCTGTAAAACATGATGGAAGCAGTGTGATGCTATGGGCATGCATGGCTTCCAATGGCACTGGGTCACTAGTGTTTATTGATGATGTGACAGAAGACAGAAGCAGCCAGACGAATTCTGAAGTGTATAGGGATATACTTTCTGCTCAGATTCAGCCACAGGCAGCAAAGTTGATTGGACGACTCTTCACACTTAAAATTGGCAATGCCTGCGAAAGCAACAAGTTTTTTAAGGCAAAGAAGTGGAATATTCTGCAATGTGTTACGCCCCTGTCTAGGAGAAAGGAGCGCCACATAAATGTATGAAAAGAATAAACCAATAATCCTACCCCGATCCCCAAACGAACAACTAACACAGAGTTAACAATCAAGAGATGTGATTTATTTACAAACACGTGAAGTGCAACAAAACCAACAACAAACTTCAGGGTGAACCAAGGCCAAAACAACAAACAAAACAGAGCTAACTTTCTCAAACAAAAATCCTGACTAATCCCTATTTAATATAAAACAAAAGACAGTTACTAAACCTAACTCCCTAACCTAATGAAAAACAGGAGAAAAGCAGTACAAAGAAAATGGCAGCTCAACCCTACAATACTCACTAAATACAACCATACGAAAACTTCTAATACTAACTTAACACCTCGCCAACCACCACGCTATTTCAAAAACACTCTCTCTACGACCGAGTCAATCAACCGGTTCTCAACCTGATCGAGCATGTATTTCACTTGCTTAAGACAAAACTTGAGGCAGAAAGACCCACAAACAAGCAACAACTGAAGGCAGCTGCAGTAAGTATTAAAAATGAACATTTTATTTAAATGTAATGTTAATTTGTCCAATTATTTTTGAACCCCTGAAATTAGGAGACTTTGTATAAAAATGGTTGCAATTTCTAAACAATTCATAGGATATTTTTGTTCAACCCCTTGAATTAAACCTGAAAGTCTGCACTTCAATTGCATCTCAGTTGTTTCATTTCAAATCCAATGTGGTGGCATGCAGAGCCCAAATCATGAAAACTGTGTCACTGTCCAAATATTTCTGGGCCTATTAATTAAAAAATTAACTAATAGATATCACCAACTTCCACAGGTGATAACTTCTATTAAAACAATTTTTGTTTTTGTATTACAAGTTTTCATAAATTGTTAAATGATCAAACGAGGCATTGTCTAATGCTAACTTCTGGTGAAATATACACACACAAGTAGACAAGTGTAGTAAAATAGGCACCTAAATTTTCATTTTGGGAATTTTCTTTTCACTAGTCTGAAAGGACATACGTTATGGAAGTGAAATAGACTAAAATCTCAAAAATGTTTTGTTTTTTGTACCATTGAAACAACCCTTTAAAGCGTGATAATTGATCTCATTGTTGTGTAAAGTTCATTTTACAGGCTTCATATACATACAGTGTTCCTCTTACAGTCATCTCCAGTCAGACATTATGTTGCCTGTCCTCTCTCACCTCTCTCTCTTTCTGACATTCAGTCTGCACTGCATCCAGCCGGGACTGAAGGTGCAGACACTCCTGCCGCAGCTGCTCCTGTTCCTGTGCAAGGTGCTCCTTCCCTTCGTACACACACACACACACACACACACACACACACACACACACACACACACACACCACACACCACACACACACTATAACTATAAGCATCTATAACTGTACTTGCTATGCATTCTAGTGTTTGGTCTTTAAAGCTGTAGTAGGTCATTTTTATACAAAATATTTTTTGTCATGTTTGCTGAAACTTTCACTACATTCTGACATTAGCACATGAGACAGTGGATCTCGTAATGGCATTTGCAAGAATCTTAATTTTCACATACACATTCGACAACATGCTAATGCTAACATGCGTTACGTAAAAAAATAACAGAAGAAATAATAATATTAATAATATTTGGAAACAGCACATTCATTTGAAGATTATCATTATTTTCATTATTATAGAATGAAACTTATTGTTGATAAATGTGCAACTTCAGTCACAGAATCATCAGCATTAAATCTTTTAACAGAAAGAATTCTATCAGCTCTTTTTTCCAAAGCCCTCACTGTCCTTTATCATTTTACATTTGACTATTTTGTTGTTTTTTGGAATTATATTATGACACACACACTAAAAATGAACCTACAATACAGTAATAACGATGAAAAAACATTCTCATTACATAACTTACATCTTTTGTACATTTTAAAGTAATGAAGCACTACTTAGAAATAGTAGTATTATATATTAAGTCTTTCTTTGTCTTTTATATTAAATATTTTTTGAAGAAGCCAGTTCACTTAGTAGTGAGGGTAGTCTAGATTCAGCAGGGACTTCCCAAACCAATTATTTACATTCTCTATAGAGAATGTAAATAATCGGTTTGGGAAGTGTAACTTTAAGTATAAATCCAATTACCCAAAAATATTTGAGTATTTGAAAAGGAAAGACATTAGTGTTTCCCGGATGACCAGCAGCCGTATTCACAAAACATCCTAAGGCTAAAAGAAGCTGCTGAGTAAGGGGAAACTTACAACAAATAATGTTTGTGTCAGTCCTGGACTCCTAAGTTTTTGGTCTAGGGTTGCACCACTAAAACCACCGTATACCATGTTATTAAAATTGACAGTTATTAAACACAATGTACATTTGCTCATCTTATTAGTGTTATTAAGAAACATATAATTCTACTGTATTAATCTTATTAAAAAGATAATATTCCTGTGAATATAGCAATAGAGGTGAGTTTTTTCTATACAACTCTCTAAAGCTATTTTTTCAAAAGTTTTGTGTTTTATTCTCTGTGACACTTGGCCATTGTTCTATTAGCTCTTTGGTTGTTTTAACTGCGTACTTTTGTAATGCAGGATGATGCTGTTAAGCAGAGAGTTAAGGCTCTGTGAATAAAGCTTGTGTTCAGGTCTTCACTGTGCCCTTATTCTATAAAAAATAATCTTAAAAAATAATCTAAACTTTAAAAATAACAGTTTCATTTTTTTTTCTTCAAAGAAATTCATGAAATGCTGAAATATACTAAGCCTACGGTATGTTTTTAAAAAGAGTTTTTCTTACACCCCTTAAAATCAAGTAGGCCTTGTGACCCAACCTGAATCTCCCACTCTCCTGTCTGTCTCTCTCTCTCTCTGTGTCTGTGTGTTGGCGTGATTTTTGACTCCCCTGGCTCTAGGCTCCCTGATCACCTGCATACATGCCTAACCCCAGTTCTTGACATTCTTCACCATTGTTGTTTTGGCTACTGTGGTAGACTCAAGTTCTCTCTACCTCACAGCCTCTCAGCTAACTGTTCAAATGTCTTCAGCTATCATCATTCTTACTGTTACTAGATAACACACACATAAGCTGACATGGCATCCACCTTATTAAATTATTTTTTGCCTCAAGGTAAAGTTCAATGGGAGCGTACTTGTCTGAGCTGCTCGAGCTTTGTGCAGCATTTCGATCAGGTCCCTGTTCAGGACTCTGGGCAGGAACTCCCTCAGCTGCATGACTTCTGTGGTTAACTTGTCTAAATCTTGTTTCCTCACTCTGACAAAGCCATCCTGAAAGAAAAAAATATAAACCTCAATACAGACATGGATCTGAAAGCATGTTAAAATAGTATTTTAAATACTCTGTCCATCCAGCGAATAAGTAAGCTGCACACAACACAGGGACATAAGGTGCCACATCATATCATTTGGTTTTTTAAGTTTTCAGCAATCCATATACAGACCTGAAAAATAATTGACCCTGCCTAAGTTCTGCCCCTTTTCACTCTGTGCTCCAATAATATAGTCACATCTTAAGTTAGCACTGAACTAAAACTAGCTAGCTAATCTACATCAATCATTAGCAAAACTGTAGCACACAGCATAACTATGTACAGGAAAGGAGAAAGTTTACTGAGGTTCTGACCAAGGCTTGCTTAATTGTTATTGGAGCACGGAGCAAAAAGGAGCAGTTCTTGCAAAAAGGTCAATTAAGGAATTGTCTGGATCACAGTTGCAAATATTTATTCTGGCTTACACTTAGGTAAACAACACAGTCCGATAGTATACTGACACATTTTTGTGATTGCTTTGTACATCAGAGGAAGGGACCATATCAATCAGGTCTACAGCTTACATGGTATCTCCTGTGGTGATGCGTTGCACGTCCCCAGTTTTAATCAATGCTAGTTTTGAAAAGTAAAAATCACTGTAGGACACACAAAAATCTGGCTTATATCTACTGGCTGTAAAGGTTATTGTGTAGAACAGTTTGATTGACATCAAACACAGCTCCATTATGACAGCCTTCTCTTTCAGAATCAGAATCAGAATCAATTAAGTATTTCTGATTCGGATTCTGAAAGCAGACAAGGCTGTCATAACGAGGGCAAAAGCTTAGACATGTTATGAGCTAAGGGGCAGATAAGAAATGTTTATTTAAGTTGGACAAATTAATAAGTAAGACATTATAACAAAAATGTTGACTACCTTGCAGCATTAGTAAAGTATCCAACACAAACATACTCTGTCCCATGTTTGGTTTTTTTGGATGTGGTCAGCCCAAGGGGCCCCTAATGTTGACCCAATGGTTACGGCCTTGGATTGAAGTAATGTACTGCAGCAAAGGGGGGTCCTTTAAGTTAGTGGTTCCCAAACTTTTTCATTTGGGGGCCCCTTTTCTATCATCGGGTATGACTCCTCAGTCAGGAGTCCTGACTGATAAACTGTACAATGAACCCAAATAATAAAAACAATAACTAGCAGATTACTTCCTGTGAATACTGCATCAGTGTTTTCGTTTTCATATTTTTAGGAACTTTTTTCATACAATTCTCTGTCTGTAACATGTATTTTCTTTATTTGTAACCATAATTTCACAGGTATTGGCTTGTAGTGTAGTAGAGCCAAAACAATAGAAATGTGTAACTGTCCAAGTGAATACCTGAAATTCCCCAAAGGGATTACTAAAGTATCTATCTAACTGTCATATGATACCGTGACTGTAATGAATAGGTCATCCATAGATTGAAGGTGTGTTTCTAGAGCTGATGAGTAGTTACCTGTTTCTTTGCCTGTGCCTTTGGTCTATGACTCACAGCCAGTGACTTCCCGCCCAGTGACGCTGCAGACATATTATGGTTGGTGTTGGTGTCTTCTGTGGGATTGTTAGCGTTATTAGCATCAGTTGTTTAGTACCTTCAGTCCAAAGAGTTAGCTAAGAAACGTTAAACGCAGGGAATAGCCCAGAGTTGTACACAGCACAATGAACATATTCAAAGATAGCTTGATTCATAATGTTCCTTACTTGTGTGTATAATTTAAAAGTTTCCCTCCGACCTGTAGGGGGCACACCGGCGGATGTTGCTCCTGACCACTGTTTAGCTAAAACCGAATGAACTGCCTCGACGCTCGAGGTGCGCTCAATGCCAGACTCCAGTCCGGATTTTGTGATTGTCCCGCCGGGCAGAAGAGCTTTTCTCCTCTTCCTTTGTGTTTGAACCTTTTTCAGTCTGCTCTGTGGAACCGGGGACTCTGAAGAGAAACGTTTCTGTCTGCCACTTTCAGAGTTCACTCATGTCTGTGGGACTAGAAGCCGATTTATCCAGCGATGAGGTGTTTATGAGCCGGTTTCCCTTCCACCGCGCTTGTCGGGATGGAGATGTTGGCGCTTTGGTCTCACTGTCACAGCAGCTCTCAGACCAGCCTCATCTGACTGTTGAGGACTCCTGCCACGGTTGGACCCCCATACACTGGGCTGCTCACTACGGACAGGTAGGGATTAGGTTACTAACGTTAGCTAGATTAAGAGATTTAGCCACCAAGCGTTAGTCTTCATGAAGGGTAAAACTCACATTGGTCCTGCAGAAGTTGCATTATACCATAAAGTGCTTCATTTAACTGCAGTAAACCTGAATCACGGCTGCGTGACTTTTCAGCCCTAGTAACATGGAAATGGACAGAATTAACTAATGTTAGTGTGAACATTTTTCAAAAGGTTGATATTTCATGGAAATTAGTAAAGTCTGTCGGTCCAGAAGCTTCCGCCGAGTGTTGGAGGTTGGTATACAGTTATGTCTGATTGGTACTGTACAATAAAGTTGTATTGGTTGAAAAAAAATTTAATAAATAAAGTAGTGGGTTGCAGCATTTTTATTGGTTCCAGCGGAGCCAATAGCTATTCAGGCGCCAAAACAGCTCCAGGAAACAGGAAAACTTGTGATGATCTAACCATTGGCAGTATACATGGATCTAACCAGGGTTGGGAGGGTCATTTTCAAAGAATATACAATTATTAATTACCTGTTTGAAAATGTTGTCAGTAACCCAATCCAAGTATCACAATATTAAAATAACATAACTTGATTACTTTTTGTTACTTTTGGATTATCTCAACACCAAATATGCCAAAAAGACAAGATAAAAATGACTGAATATCTTCAAATGTGATGGCCACAAGTGTCTAGTAAACACACAATTTTAGCATAAAAAATCAGCTAAACCTGATCGTTAATTTCCAGAGCTTCAGTTTAACTCCTTTTATTGCGACACACAAACTTGCTGTACAGTCACTTGGTGTTTAGCTTCCTGTTTTACTACCTGCTTGCTTTGACCCCTGGATGCCACATAACCCCCCCTTTGGTTGTCCTCTGACTGCCTACCTGATAATTACATACACAATACCACAATCTTATTATTAACCATATTACCTGATATTCTAATGGAGTTGTGGGAGATTTCTTACAATAAAAGTGAATCGGTGCACATCATAATGCTCCCATCAGTAGTCTGATAGTAATGGTTCACTTGATTCTTTGTTGACCAACGGATGTATTCAGTTGACTCATTATTTGCCTGTGTTCTGTGTTTCCATGCAAAAAGCTGGAGTGTGTGGTGCGCCTGGTGCAAATGGGTTGTGAGGTGAACGCGGTGACAAGCCGCTTCAATCAGACGCCAACACACACTGCAGCATTTGGAGGACATCCTCAATGTGTGTTGTGGCTGACTCAGGCTGGAGCTGACGTCAACAAACAGGTCAGTCTTCCAACACCATCCATCCGCAAGTGTATATTTGTATATCTAAATCTATTATTAAGAATCTAGGACAAGGGTATTGAATATCTCATAAACAAGTGAATGGATCAACACTAGTCTAGTATAGAAAAATAAGATAATAAATCTTGACAGGTGGTTAACTATGTCTATAGGATTATAGCTCTAACTTTATTACTAGGTATGTAACAATACACCAACTGATGATTCGATACCTACGCTCACAAAAATAAATAAAAATGTCTAAGATACATCTGCAGTAAGCCTAGTCAGTGTGGTTGCTTTGGAACGATATTAGCGCTTCCCATTGTGAGTTTTGGTAAGGTGGTGAAAGTCTCACGCATCCTGCTGTAAACCTAAATTTCCTCAGTCACCATTGTCTTTTCTAAATGCGAACATGTTTCTTCCATGCTGGTTACAAGTAATCTATGTATTTTTGTATTTCAATAAACTCTAAAATACCATGTTAGTGGCTAATATAACTCCTATCCTGGACAAAGTCTATTTGTAATTGTAATGTTTTGATTGAGTCTGTCAGGTCAAATAAACTAAATGTGGAAGTGAAAAATATTTTTTCAATATACCTAGAGAGAGAGAGAGTACACTTAGCATTCCAATAAGTCTATCATGTACTTGCAGTACTCCCATGCTTCACATGTTCAAATATACAATGTTGTGTTTGTAATATCTTTCATTATTACCTGTACTGTGTCTTCAGGATTTTGTAGGTGAGGCTCCAGTCCACAAGGCAGCTCGGTCAGGTAGCTTGGACTGTATCCAGGTCCTGTTGATAGCAGGTGCTAAACCCCAGTAAGTATCCTGCAGTCTGACCTCTGTGCAGCAACACATCAGCTCTGCCATGCCGAGTGTGAAGCACAGCAGCAGCTACACATCTCTTAGTTTACTTAGGCCAAATCCACTCACCAGGTTTGGTAATAATGATCACAGCTCCCGACTCTGTATGTTCTGCATAGTTTAATCAGAAAAGTAAAGATGACATTAAAGATATCCTGCATAAACAACAACCCTGATTTGGACACCAGTCCTACTGTATGCATTCCTTTAAATGGTTACATATTTGCAAACGTTGTAGTGTTAGTGTATTTTCTGTTGTCATTACATCTCAGTGCTTTGCTAATGTGACATCAGCTGTTTGGGAGGGAACAGGCCACACTGGTTTACTTTGAGCAATATAGTAAGCATTCTTCATAATGATGTAGGTTATTTTACCAAACCATTAAACATGCTGATGGTTGAAGATTCACGTCTAGCTTTTCCATCACTGCCCCAGTTCCACAGTCTCTCCTTGAGCTGAGAGGAGATTTGGGGATTTGGAGCAGTGATGGACACTTGCAAACTAGGGAGAGTCTCTATCTTTAAATACTCTCAGAGATACTAAATGTCTCCCTTATCTAATGATATAGAATTGAGCCACTTTCATTTTATACTCTGGAAAACCCCATTCTATAATTGTGTACTAAAATGACGTCATCTTAAAACAAATCAAAAAGCATTTTTGGGTTCATGTCACTTATTTCCTAAACAAATCAATTTGTTCAATCAAGTGGTATTTCCTTGAATTGAAGTACAGCGATGTGATCTGCCTTAAGGCTCAAACACACTGTGAGATTTTGGGCTGTCCCAGTCAAAAGTTGACAATCATGAGAGAAAAGTTGTGAAATTATCAATCCAAAATGGTCACCCTAGATCTCACTGTTAGATGCAACCAAAAGACATTTGCCTGCATCAAAATTTTGACTGAGACCAGGATCTCCAAAAAGTCTTAAAACATCGAAAAACCAATTTAAACTTAAATATGATTATGACAGGTCTTAAAAAATTAGTGAAGTTATTTAAAGCTAAGGTAACTTGTATAAAGTCGTATGGTCCACTGTCCAGTATGGATAGGTCTTAAATTGCGCTCATGAGGGTCTTAAAAAATATTAATTTTAACCTGTTGAACTGAGTTGTTTAAATTTTAAAACACAGTTTTCTTGTGACATGATTTGCATCACATTAGCGTTTTCATGTTAGTTTTGTAGAGACCTTTGTCCATAGAGAAACGTCTGAACAACATAAAAATCTCTTTACCCTATTTTCAGTTGGCAAACAACAAAATTTCTTCACATCCAAACTCTTTTAAGGAGTGGGTCAGACAACTGGATGACCATTCATTATTTCAGTTTTTAGTTGTGACGTTGCCTGACAAAATCTAATTAAATACAGGTCTATGACAACAGCTGTGCTGTGTCATCCATGTTAAAAATACGTGATCATAGACAAAGTTAGTGTCTTGGTTGCAATTCAATATATTTAGATATATATAGATAGAGATACTGTAAGCAAGGGGATATATTGCGATTTTAAAATTAGGTTGAACAGTCAGTCTGGTCAAAGCTTGTTTTTTTGATGCAGTTTGATAAATGATGGGAGTTGATGATACGTCTCTCCTTTTATATTTTATCCATAATAGCCTACAGCAAACATTCTTCACACATTGTGACATGCCTCAAAATAGAGATTGTGTAGTCTGATGAAGATTTCATTAGAGCAATCTGACACAGGGTGACATGACATGATCCTGTGAGTGTAAATGGGCCTTCATTCTGTCTTGCTTCAAGCTACTGACTCTCATTTCTAGACAAAACTGCACACTGAGAACAGGTGGAATTATCTCACCCCACTGACAGACCTTATTAAATCTGATACTAAAGGACTTGACAATGAGTTTTTTGTAGTGTACGAAAAAATATAATCCACCAGGATTTGAAGTGTATAAATATTCCAGATGTTTCATTGGCCATTCTCTTCCAAACCAGCTGATTTACAGTAGATGTAAAGTAATGTTATTTGAGTGTGTTGCATTTTCTTAAGTAGCTTTGCAGGTAAAATGAATGTTGACATTATGCAAAAGCAGAAAAGCTCATGTGTTTTTATTTATGTGTGACAAATATGGAAATGTATTGAATTTATGTAAATTCAAAATCGATCTATGGCATCTATAATTGTATATAAAAAGACAGAGGGTGAGAATCAGATCAATTCTGTTTCTGATGACTTTGAATAGCTATTTATTTTGGAAAGTATTAAAATGAAAAAACAGTGGAGTTATCAAAAACACTATGTTGCTACTGATAAGTGGAAAGATTTTGGATTTCACTCTGATTTCTCTTGAAAAACGGATTCCGTCTTATCTCAGTGCTCTGTTTAAGAATGAAATATTGATGCATTTCGGACCTTTTTTTGTAATTGAAAGAAAAATGTAATTTGTAAAAGTAAGGTATTAAAGGAGAAATGTGTAATTCTTGGCCACATGCTCTAAAAACAAAGGGGACAGAATTTCACCTCATCCCGCCTTCGATGCAATGACACTATTCAAGATTGTTTACAGTTAGACACATGTAATTAACACTGCAATTTCCCTTAATGTATAGCTTTCCAAGCTCTCCATAACTACAGTGGGTACGGAAAGTATTCAGACCCCTTTAAATATTTCACTCTTTGTTTCATTGCAGCCATTTGCTAAAATCAAAAAAGTTTATTTTATTTCTCATTAATGTACACTCAGCACCCCATCTTGACAGAAAAAAACAGAAATGTAGAAATTTTTGCAAATTTATTAAAAAAGAAAAACTGAAATATCACATGGTCATAAGTATTCAGACCCTTTGCTCAGTATTGAGTAGAAGCACCCTTTTGAGCTACTACAGCCATGAGTCTTCTTCGGAATGATGCAACAAGTTTTTCACACCTGGATTTGGGGATCCTCTGCCATTCTTCCTTACAGATCCTCTCCAGTTCTGAAAGGTTGGATGGTGAACGTTGGTGGACAGCCATTTTCAGATCTCTCCAGAGATGCTCAATTGGGTTTAGGTCAGGGCTCTGGTTGGGCCAGTCAAGAATGGTCACAGAGTTGTTCCGAAGCCACTCCTTTGTTATTTTAGCTGTGTGCTTAGGGTTATTGTCTTGTTGGAAGGTGAACCTTCGGCCCAGTCTGAGGTCCTGAGCACTCTGGAAGAGGTTTTCTTCCAGGATATCTCTGTTCTTGGCCGCATTCATCTTTCCTTCAGTTGCAACCATTCGTCCTGTCCCTGCAGCTGAAAAACATCCCCATAGCCTGATGCTGCCACCACCATGTTTCACTGTTGGGATTGTATTGGGCAGGTGATGAGCAGTGCCTGGTTTTCTCCACACATACCGCTTAGAATTAACGCCAAAAAGTTCAATCTTGGTCTCATCAGACCAGAGAATCTTATTTCTCATAGTCTGGGAGTCCTTCATGTGTTTTTTGGCAAACTCTATGCGGGCTTTCATATGTCTTGCACTGAGGAGAGGCTTCCGTCGGGCCACTCTGCAATAAAGCCCCGACTGGTGCAGGGCTGCAGTGATAGTTGACTTTGTGGAACTTTCTCCCATCTCCCTACTGCATCTCTGGAGCTCAGCCACAGTGATCTTTGGGTTCTTCTTTACCTCTCTCACCAAGGCTCTTCTCCCACGATTGCTCAGTTTGGCTGGACGGCCAGGTCTAGGAAGAGTTCTGGTCGTCCCAAACTTCTTCCATTTAAGGATTATGGAGGCCACTGTGCTCTTAGGAACCTTGAGTGCTGCAGAAATTCTTTTGTAACCTTGGCCAGATCTGTGCCTTGCCACAATTCTGTCTCTGAGCTCCTTGGGCAGTTCCTTTGACCTCATGATTCTCATTTGCTCTGACATGCACTGTGAGCTGTAAGGTCTTATATAGACAGGTGTGTGCCTTTCCTAATCAAGTCCAATCAGTTTAATTAAACACAGCTAGACTCCAATGAAGGAGCAGGACCATCTCAAGGAGGATCAGAAGAAATGGACAGCATGTGAGTTAAATATGAGTGTCACAGCAAAGGGTCTGAATACTTATGACCATGTGATATTTCAGTTTTTCTTTTTTAATAAATTTGCAAAAATTTCTACATTTCTGTTTTTTTCTGTCAAGATGGGGTGCTGAGTGTACATTAATGAGAAATAAAATGAACTTTTTTGATTTTAGCAAATGGCTTCAATGAAACAAAGAGTGAAAATTTTAAAGGGGTCTGAATACTTTCCATACCCACTGTACACCATGATGGTGATTTGTAAAAGGTCTGAATTCATACTTTGTTATGTCTGTCCACAAGACTACAAGCAAACTAAATTTAAACGCTTGTTTTCTAAACAGAGTTTGGCTCGATCAGGGCTACGTTAATGTAGTTCAAAGTAAAATAACACTGATAGCTGGAATCAAGTAACAGACACATTTTCAGCACTTGCCAGGTAGTACCTATTTCTACACTATGTTCAAACTCAGCCGTTGTGTTGAAACTGAAAATCGGTGGGGGCCTACTTTTTTCGCTACACAGAAAATTCTGTTGATGTTAGTTCCTTTTTAACATTCATGAATCATAATTCTGGCCATATATTACACATTGCTCCTTCAAAAAAAACATAATTTGGTATTGTACAAATACGGTAACATTCCCTAAGAGACTAAGAGACCAGGTGGTGCTGAATTAGAAATTGAATTAAATTTAAATTAAAAATTTACATAAGTTACTCTGCTGTCTCCTCTTTTTAGCATAAACATTTTTTTCAATACAATTTCTATCAGACCCAACTTCAAGAGAAATCAAATGAGTTGTTAATATGTGTCAGTAAATAGGCATCATGAGCTTTTCAGCCTCAGGGAGTTTCATAGTCCGCAACAGCCTAATTACTTGTAATTTGTTTGATTGTTTCTAACATGTTACACTTTGAACTTATTATTTCGATTTGCTTTTGGATCATATGCTATATTATGTTAAAAAAGGATAACCATGAGACAAACACCCTGCCCGTTCTGATGTTTTACAGCTATTGAATTTGAACACGATTTTCTTGAGTAATCCCAGAAAGAGGGAGCAGTCCAAATAGGCACTGCAGAGTCTACCACATGTGCATCAGCGAGCATCTTACAGTTGTTCAAACTGGCGAGGTATTTCCTGCAGTGATTGGTTTCAATGCTAAGAAAGCACTGTTGATGATAGTTATGTCTAGACCTGCATGCTTAGCTTCCTACTAACTGTTTTTAGACACTGTGCTAACAAAGTGAGCTTGGTGGACACACCTCAGGAGTCAGTGGAGAAATCACAGGAAGCTCAGTCCCAGCTGGAAGATTATTGTGCAATAGTGGAGGGAAAGGAGCATAATGTATGTCCAGAAGTGAATAAAGTTAAATGCTTGACTAAAACTAAATATCATGATTTGACTGACCTTCATGGTTGTTCATACAGGGTTTCTACACAGGCCTGCACAGTCTGAAAAGTGTTGTATCATCAGTTTCTGCTTTAAGACTATCACGTGCTGATGAGTGATGGCACTGTTTGAGACCATCCATTAAAACATTCAAACATACTGTATGGAAAGTGAGAAAAAAATCCACCTACTAGCTTTTTCTGAGCTTTCCTCTGCATCTCAGTCTTCATCAGCGAGTGGAGCTGGCTCACGTGTTATTTTGTATTGACAGTAGAGCTTAAATCGATTCATTCGAATTTGCGTTTGAAAACGATGCAAAATAAACTTAATCTTAAAATCGAGGTTTAAACTTAAAATGTTGTAATGCTGAGATATACAGCTCAGGGTTCCCATGCATTCCTGGAAAACCTGGAAATTAAAGGACTAGTTTTCCAGTCATGGAAATTGATTGAAAGGATCACATGTCCTGAAAATAATCTATGTTGTTCTGGAAATTTCTAAATTGGAAAACTGTAGTCAATTCAGAAAATGGAAGAATCGGCCTATAAATGCTAAACATTTATGGCGGACTACCGTTAATGAGCAAGTGCTGTCCTGTATTGTCAAGAAAAACTCCTAGAAAATGTTCTGTAAAACAGTTTCTTAAAAAGAGTGGGAACCCTGACAGTTGCTAAGGAGTCTTAATTCACTCAAGTCACTTATCTGTACAAAACATGTAGAATCATTTTCCCATAATATCCCATATAAGAAGAAGAGTAAGATAAGTGATAAGACGGTACAAATGATCGATTTTAAAGGGCATTACAGAACAGTATATATATATATATATATATATATATATATAGAGAGAGAGAGAGAGATATTTAAACAGTCCACAGTGCCCAGGAGGTGAACTGGCACCTCTCCAGCAACCAGTCCACACTAAATACTGTGGGCCATGCTGGCCTTGAACCAGTCACCCCCCAGTTCCCAAAATAAGTCCCTACGGGCTGAACTACTGCCTCCTACTGGAGGCTGGCTATAGGAATAATTAAAAGGGTCCTGCCTGAGGAGCTCAGGCATCAGCTAGACTCATAAGGCAGAAGTTAATCTATAATGCAGGGAGGAGCAAGGCATGCAGGACTAAAAAGTAATTAGTAAAAATTTTAAATTAATTCAAAACTTAACTTATGGCCAGTGTAATGTTGCAAGAAAGGAGGATAGGTCTTGTCTCTTAGTGTGTAGTGTGGAGCGTATATCGTGTGATGACATCTGAGCCATTGCCCTGAACTAACTATTCACTGTTAAAGACCACCACATGCTGTTGAAAGCTCAGAAAAGCTGGTAATCTGACTTTAAATTGAGATTCTTTCTTTCAACACCAGACAAGACAAATTGCCATACTTAGTAGAAGATGATGAAGATCTGTTCTTGCTTTTATTTATTTTCTACAGTGAAACAAATTCAGTGGGGGTAATAAAAAAGTTTTGAACTAACAGTGTAGTGTAACAGTCTTGTCTGGCCAACATTAGCTTGTCACAGATGTATCATAGCAGCATGTATGCCAGCTGATAAAATTAGAATTAGAGGCTGACCAGTGTATCAGTTTATATCGATTTACATTTATTTGACGTGTAGTGGATGCCCCAAATGGAGGCAGCAGGCTTTATGACCCATACTGCAGAGAGCCATCAGGGGGCGATCAAGATGTGACTTCACTTTTAGAGAGCTGTCATGTCGTCCATCTTTATATATGTTGATGGATATTACAGAAAAATGTATATTGGCTGATACATTGATATCACATTGTTTTAACTTATATATACATATTGATATCGGTATTCTCTTGGTCAGTCAAGCTCAGATGCCAAATGTGCCATTAAAAACTTGTCGGCCTGCATTAGAATAAAACTTTGTTGCTCCTTCTTATTTTGTCTAGTATTGAGGGAGATTAATAATTTCTTCTTTCTAAATTTGATTTTTTCAGGGCCTGGGTAGAAGACATGTTATTTTATGTATTTGAGGTAGAGATAGAATTACCCAACAGGACTGTTCTTTAAACTGCAAATTAATCTGAAATATTCTTTAGTGTTCATGTTTTGTACTACAAAGGATAGATCTGTGGTTAGCTTTGAATCTGTTTTTTGCCCTTTTTAATTGTACCAGCTCACTTGTAAAATTGTATTCATTTAGCTGAATGTGTTGCAGGGGAGATGTTAGAGATGAGACAGGAAGCAGTTTATCTTACTGTGTCCTCTTCTTGTTCAGTTTAAGGAATGCCAGTGGGCAGACTGCAGCAGACCTGGCCCTCGCTCACGGCTTCCATGACTGTTTCTGCCTCATCTCTAAAACCCAGAAGCACCTGCTGCAGCTCAGCGGACTCCATGTGAACGGAGTGCAGAATAGAAACAGTGCCCCGTGTGGTCAGGAGCTGCTCAGCAGAAAGAGACTGCAGACTGCCATGGACACTGGTCACATGAAGAAAGCCAGGAGAGCTGATAGTAAGACATTTGTTGAGTCCCAGCTCTTCAATATAAAAAAAAATATATTTTATTTATTAGTTGAAATGTGTCAAGACACGCAGAGACAGTAGAACAAGAAAATGTAAAACAGCACGCATGACATAAACCATGAAGTGCTCTCAACAGTATCAATGCAAAAACAAAAAGAAAACAATGTCATTTTTCAAATTTGTAACAAGAGACCTTTTGTAAATGTCCTTTTATGCCAGATGCGCTTATAATAGGTAGGTTTATAAATCCTGCAGTTGGTTCTGAAAGAGCCAAATAGTTTTACTATAACTGAGGACTGAGTTGTATGTCAGCACACTTTCTACCAAACACCAGTTTAACCTCACAACTTTTTTTTGTGGTCATACAGTATGGAACCCCTGTCTGTTCTGAAATACAGCCATTAAAGGACCAGTTTGTAGGATTTAGAGGCATCTGGCAGTGAAGTTTCAGATTGCAACCATTGCCTGCGGCAGAATGTCACCATGGGTGGGACTCTTCAATTATCAAGCATATACATTGGATTGATTTCAAAAATTTGTATGTAGAGCTGGGAGATAAATCCATGAAATTGAATAATTATGAAAACAAACAATGAAAAAAGATCAAGATTTAAATGTTGTAATGTAAATATTGTTCTATCTAGAGCCAGTGTTTGGTTTGTCCATTCTGGGCTACTGTAGAAACATGGCTGTTTTAACATGGCGGACTCTGTAGAAGAGGACCCCCTCTCTCTGTAAATAAAAAACGCTCATACTAAGGTCACAAAAACGCAACTATTCTTATTTTCAGGCGATTATACACTAATGAAAACACATCTATGAATATTGTGCTAGATTTCTGCCAAAACATTCTAAATATTAAACTCACACACATTCTCAGAAACTAACTAAATATGCCAATCACAACGGATTTTAAAAATATTTAAATAGTATTTACTTGGTATTTATTTGATAAAAACCTACGTAATGTAATCAGCTCTAACCACTTGACTAGATTTAAACTCATAAAAACAAACCCGACTCAAGATATGGACTATGAATTTAGTATGTTATATCCATGAAGCTTTCTTCTTCTACTGCAGATGTGGTGCAGATGCAAAGCAGTGGAGGTGAGGAGCTGGAGAGCATGAACATGGAGTCTGCACAGGAGCTCAGCTCAGGTGGGACTGAGAGTTCTTTTGCTGGTAAAACAGATTAGAGATCACAGAGTAGTTCTTAAAAGAGCTGCTTATGAAGAGGTTAACTTTCAAAGTTTGTTTTTAAAAAGCAGATGACACCAAAGCCATCACCAACGGCCACCATCACACACTGCCTTATGCTGACCAGGACGACCTTGAGCCACCCAAAAGCCGCTCCTCAACGTCCTCCCCTCCAGCCAATCAGCAAGCAGCAGCGGCTGCTCAGCACTCGTTAACTGACATGTGTGGTTCACTGCATCTGACGGGCAGCCCCAGCAGTTACGTGTCCCACCGGCCGACCTGGTGGGGGCTGATGGGAGCAGACTGTGGGGACTTCCTGCATTACGGACACTACCATGGCTTTGGAGACACGGCAGAAGAACTGAGCGACAGTAGCCGCCTGGACTACAGCAACAGCATCCAGGCTGAGCACAGATACAAGCAGGCTGTGGCCAGCACCATCCACCTGTACCACGGCTCATAAAGACAGAGGGTTAGCCTATTAGGGAAGGATTACTCTGCTATGCTTTCTCTTAACTTGCATTAAACAACATTCTGACATTTGGAAAAATAATCATCTGCTGCCAATCCCTGAGTCATTACTACAGATATCCAGGACACATTTAATCTAGTTTGATTACATATTTCTACTTTCATTGGGTAGGGTTAAGATAAATGCTGTGGGCACAGGGCAGGTAGGATTCTGTAGGCGTTATGTAAGTGTTGAGGAGCAAGGGGGAGTGGTGTATGAGCAGAGAAAAAGAAAAAGAGAGTGATAAGAGCAGAGTAATTGACAAAGGAGGGAGCAAAAGAGAAATAAGTATATGAGGGGAGGAAATGGAAAGGGAAAAAAATATCTCACGTCCAGCTTTTTTTTTTTAATCTTCTTAGTGTCTTTAGTCTTTTCCTTTCCTTTTTTTAAATCATTTCTCTCTCTCTCTCTCTCATTAGGCTATCTCTCTATCATTTACCCCCCCCACTGAACAGCTCCCAGACACAATGGGAGAGAGTCTGTTCATGTGGAGAAAGATTCGTATTTTTAGGGACCGAGCACTAACAAGTGCAAGGACCCTATTGTTCCTCTAGGAATTATTATTATACCTCTGGGACTTCGACCGCATATTTGGCCCCCGCAACATGCTCAAAATGGCATGAAAATTTGCACAAAAATCAAACATAGCAAAAATACCGATATGACATTGTCCCCGTGCACGGGCGCCGCCAAACGTCTAAGCCACGCCCCCCAGAATCAGCCCCCAAGACACGTAAGGTCCACATGTACGAAGATTGCTACGCATGTGTATCATGATAAAAGAAGCAGAAAAGCCTCTTGGACCCATGCCCCAAATCCCACAGGAAGTCTGCAATTTTAATTTTTAATTTTCATCATTTTGTGGTCATTTTGACTTTTTGGGCTTGTATTTGAACGAACTCCTCCTAGGGAATTTATTGGATCTGCTTCAAAATTGTACAGTCAAAACATGGTGCTGAATGAACGCTGTTCAATTTGCAACTGTACGTTGAAGGGCGTGTCCGTGGCGTGCCGTCAAAGTTGGCCATTTTTTTAGGCCGTGGTCATTTTCGGTGAATTTTCGCCTTGCATTTGAACGAACTCGTCCTAGGGAATTTCTGGGATCTGCTTCAAAATTGGTCAGTACAGTCACAAAATGGTGCTGAATGAACGCTGTTCATTTTTTCACTGTACGTTGAAGGGTGTGTCCGTGGCGTGCCGTCAAAGTTGGCCATTTTGAACGAATGTCACACTGTGATGACATTTTTGGCATTTCAGGGCTTCTATTTTAACCAACTCCTCCTACAGGTTTTATTGGATCTACTTCAAAATTGGTCAGTGCAGTCAAAACATGGTGCTGAATGAACACTGTTCATTTTTTGACTGTACATTGAAGGGCGTGTCCATGGCGTGCCGTCAAAGTTGGCCATTTTGAAGTCTGTGATCTTGTATTTGAACAAACAAACCCCTAGGGAATTTATCAGATCTGCTTCAAAACTTTACAGTACTCTTGAATAATGTTGCTGATTACAAGTTGTGCTATTTATGACTGTACGTTGAAGGGTGTGTCCGTGGCGTGCCGTCAAAGTTGGCCATTTTGAACGAATGTCACACTGTGATGTCATTTTTGGCATTTCAGGGCCTCTATTTTAACTAACTCCTCCTACAGGTTCTATTGGATCTACTTCAAAATTGGTCAGTGCAGTCAGTTTTTTTTGTCCAACATTGTGCCCGTGGCGTGGCGTCCCGTGGCATCCAATTTCAAACCTTCGCCATGAAAGAGGGATTCGTCATAACTTCTGCGTACATGATCCGACTGCAACGAAACTTCACGTCGGATAAGAGTCCCGCCCTGAACACGTCTATGTGATAATATTCAGTAAAAGTGAGAGCGCCACCTAGTGGTGAAAGGAAATTTTTTTATACTTCCATGTTCTACTCCTAGTAGGATGATCAGATCAAGCTGAAATCTAGTCAGAAAATGGAAAACATGTTCTTGATGGTATTTCTTGATTGTGGTTAGTTTTTGTTACAGGGCATGTCCGTGGCGTGGCGTCAAACTTTGATGTACCGCCAGAACACACAAAGTTGCTATAACTTGAGTGTACATTGTCCAATCGTCTCCAAACTTCACGTCTGATAAGAGTCCCGCCCTGAACACATAGTGATAGTGCCACCTAGTGGCAACAGGAAGTAAGTGCTGGGTGCCGATTTTGAGCTGATTTACGTGAGATTTTCATGTCGTGGTCCGCACGTGTTACGACGGCACGTGACGCGGCCGCAGCACGCTACGAGTTGCGTGGAGTGCGAGGTCCCGTCCATCACTGCTTGCAGCTTTAATTTTATTTGTTTCACGTCAAACTCAAAAACCTAGTGTTTTGTTTTAGTGAGTATACTTAATTGTGTTCCTTTTTCAGCATGAACATATTTCAGACTCAAAAACTGTTGTTCTGATTAACAGCAAACTTTTGTTTCCTGTGAGTCTGCAGGATTTTGGATTTATATCAATGAAAATTAGATGTGTGACTTATTGGCTCTGGGGTAGTTAAATTCTTCACCTGCACTGCATCTCAATCTAATTGGTCATAAAAAAAGTGTTATAAAAGAGCGTTTTCCCTTTGTTTCCAGCTTACATATGACATTCACTTCGTGGTTTGACAGTTTCAATGAGCCTGTTGTTCTTTCCTCAACTTCCTGGGTCAACTTCAAATCTCCATACTGAAGTTGAGCGTAAAGAAAAACCCACACATTATTTCTGTATTTACAACATTGATATTTCTGTTAACCTGCTGCTGGCTGGTTTGCACTAATAAGGGCTGTCAGGTTGCATTATGTGTTATGCTATTATGTTTTGTGTGTGTGGACAGTAGTTGAGGTGTGTTTTGGTGGAGGCTGTCCTCTCTGAATGTGGCCTGATCTGCCGTCCTTCAGCAGGGGGGAACAACCGCACCAACACCCAAAAAAAATGCCTTGTGAGCTTTGATCTACCAAAAGGGAATCTGTTCTGGGTTTGTGTTTTTGTTCATTTCATTCATGTTCATTTGTTATATGTTTTAGAGCAGATTAGTGTCTTTATTTAGAGCTATACTGTAATCTGATATATCACACTGTAGGATGATTGTAACATACAGTGTGCTGAAGACGTGCTGCCTCTTTTGTAAACACTATGTCAGCTGTGTGGGAATGTGCACTGTGTGCCAAGAAGTGACTTACACCAAGCAGACACTGCTGCTTCTGACAGCTGTTTTTATACTTGTTCTGGTTTTTGCCTCTTTTCCTATTAAAACATGTTTTGCAGTTTCATAAAAATGGTATAAATTGATGAGTCTTTGAGGTTGTTTTTTTTTTTTAATCACACCTTTAAAACTATTTATTTCCAAAGTCGTCCAAATATATTTAAATTTTAGGTACATGTGCATTAGAGGTGTAAGAAAATATAAAATTGAATAGAAATAGAAAATATCTTATGTTTTGGGATACTGTATTGATTCTCAAAAACACTTCATTTTGATTTTAATTAATAGTTTACATGAAAAGATTAATATCAGTGGTTGTCTTTTATGAACTACTAGAAATTTTAAAAAAGAGGCATATATAGGGATGGGGACTGATACAATTTTATTCATACCAATATTATTGTTAAATCTGCTTATTGGTCAGATTCTTAATTACTATTGGGTTATTATTTCTATTATTATTATTTTAGTGCCAAATGAATCGCATTTTTGGAGGCTTTCCCATGCTCGAAAACTCATGAAATGTGGCTCACATGTCAGTCATGGCGAAACATTTTGTATTTTCTAGGAGTCTACTATGAGCATTGCAAAATGGCACCCCAGGGGCCCATAAACTGTACCACCCGGGGCCCCTTTCATCGATATGTATAAAAATCGGCACACGCGTAAAAAGATCCAGTGGGAGCCATATCCCAAACCCAACAGAAAGTTGTTTGAAGTCAGAATGTCAGAAAAACATCCCAGCACTAAAAGGAGGCACATGATTCCGATGGATTGGAAAATGCATGGAAAATCAACTGATTCTTGATTGCCATCCCAGGATCCAAAAATATAATATATATATTTTTATTGTCTATATGTAACACTATACATGAGTAACACTGTTTAATTTTCCTTTTAAAAAAAAAAAAAAAAAAAAAAAATATATATATATATATATATATATATACACATACATATATATATATATATATATATATACACACACCACACACTGAAAATATAAAGTTATATGAAGCAACTAGGGGGAAATTTTTCTTGCGGGCTTATTTTTGACATCGTCGAGGAAGGGAGGGGAATGGCCAGCCGGAAATGACTGGCTGTTTGAGATACAATTTTTTAATACTAAGAGTAGAATTTGGATTTTTTTTTATTGTGTTTGAATGTTCTTAGTGTAGTGCTGCATCACTTGAAAATTAAAATAACATAAAAATAGAGCAGTGAAAACAAACCGGACCACTGCAAAAACTCTGGGTATCCTGTGTCTTCATCACAACCACAAAGAAATGTTTTAAAATGCTTTATTTCCAATCTGAAAAATCCCTTATTAAAACCCTCAAAAAGGGAAAAATGCTAAATACAAAAAGGAGATTATGTGTTACAACATATTTCATGAAAACATAATAACAGAGTAGCTCATATAAAAGCTGAAGCGAAGTGAAGCTGAGTGTGTATCACCTCCCCAGATCCAGCTGAATAGTCTTCTGCAGACTGGCAATGCTCGCATCCAGAGCCGACAGGCCATCTCTGAACGCTGCCTCGTCTCTGGTGTCAAAGGTCGACCCTGACCTCACGCTACAATTGGACCACACAGATTCCACATCACACTGGGACAACGTGGAGTTCAACAGTCGACCACATAACCAGATTTTGTCAGAATGATGCGATTGGTCGATGTGAGGGTTTTGGTGACAGGCTGAAGTCTCTTTAGGTTTTACATCGGGACGTGATAATGTGTCTCTCAGCTTGACTAAGGTCAGTTTCTTTTGCTCTAGTGTGTTTCCTTCTCTCTCTGCGGGCTCCGGCTGACCTAGAGACATCAGGTACTGGGTGATGCGGTCAGTGGGAGGCTCTGCTGGATCTTGTCTGTGCTGGTGTTGTTCAAAATGTTTTAGAACCAGAGTGTCTGACACTGAGCTGTCAACAACTTTATAACATTCTGATGGATTCTGACTCTGAAGAGTCCTGAAACAGAAGAACCAAGAATAGAATGGGAGTGAGTTTCCTCGTAAAAGATGTGCTGCACTCACATTTGCCCTCTAGAGGACTCTTGTGGTTGAGGCTTTGAGCACTAATATTTTGCTTTTTAAAACACTTTCATTCTCAAAAAGACCTAGAAAGGACAAACAGATTTACATTAATTTCCTGGAGAGGAATTATACTACTACATTCCATTTTCACAGGTTATACGCGTAGGCTCTGTATGGACATCCACGTGCACCCACTTTGTTGTGAACGCGTCCTCCAAGCAGACCACTTTGGATAGGTACTGACCACTCTAGACCTGGGGACACCCCACAAGAACTGCAGTTTTGGAGTTGCTACGTCCCAGTTGTCTAGTCATCCCAATTTGGCCCTTGTCAAATTTACTCAAATCCATACACTTTCCCATTTTTCTGACTATAACAATAACAATCTGTCAGTGGAAAAAACACTTTGACTGGCGTATTTGCCCCCAAAGTTTAACGTTCGGTTATGTTGTAAACCTTTTCACAAATATTTTGTCTGTGACTAGCTTTGGTTTTTGCTGGAAAGACTAAGGAAAGACTCACAATTTTGGTGAGCTAAATAAAATATTTCTAATCATTAGTATTAGTCTAAAATGTGTCCCCAAGGTAGCCTAAATCTGACCCAGAAAACATGCACACAGACACACACAGACAGACAGACAGACAGACACACACACACCTACCTGCTCAAGTGTCCGATCTCTTCCAGTCGTTGCTGGGCGAGCAAGGCCAACTCACTTTTCTCTCTCTCACTGTTCAGCAACTTGCTTCTAGTAGCCTCCAACTCTGCACGTACGCACGCATAATTGGGCAGATAAGTAACAAAAAATGTCACAGATATATCAGAGCTCATTCAGAAACAGTGACTCCATAGTATAGCTTGTGTTAGTGATGTATTTTTATAGATGAAGCTACCCAGCACAAATAATTCAAAATTAGCTCCACCTTTACTAGCTGCAACAATCAACAATTATACAGGGATAGTGGTGCGTTAAACAATAATATATAACTATATGTTTTTAACGCACTTGGGTCAGTACTCAGTATCAGCCAATGTGCAAAGTTTCAGGTATCGGAACACCTCTAATTTATTAGAATGATACCAGAAATGTGTGTGAAATGTGTAAACCTGTCATGATAAGGGCATTCTGCGCGTCTCTGTCTCTTAGCTGGCTCTGTGTGTCCTGAAGGGCTTTCTGTAGTTCTGCAAGCTCCTCCTGGACTTCATGCAGTTGGGACTGAGCTACAGTGAGCTCCTCCTGGAGTGTAAACACTGTGGAGGGACACAGGGTTCAAAACCGTTCAGTCCTGAATGTGAACTGCACAAAGCGACACACACACACACACACACACACACACACACACACACACACACACACACACACACACACACACACACACGCACACGCACACGCACACACTTTACCTTCTGAGTTAAAGAGTGTCTCCATATTCTGTTGTCTCTCTGCCTTCTCCCTCTCTTTCAACTGCTGCTGCAGAGTCTTCACACGCCTAACACACACATCAGTTAGTGAGGTTCCATGTCAGGAGTGAGAGCTTAGGTAAGGACAGTGTTTGTGTGCATGTGTATGTAACCTGCGCAGCAGAGTGTTCTGGCTGTGTAGTGATGATAGGTCCGGTTCACTCTGGATGTTTGAACTGTCACCATTCACCTGTGGTACAGACACAGTCTGCTCCAAATGACTGATCAGCCTCTCTGCTACACTGCCTACACACACACACACAAACAGTGATAAATATTAACCCAGTTTCCATGACACAGCACAGAACAGCACAGCACTGTAAACACTGTATCATACTGGGCAGGAAAGAAGCTGAGAACTGCAGAAAACAAAACAGAGCAGAGATATGTGCTGACTTTACTGCACCTGTAGCATCACAACCATAGACTGTATAAATAAAAATGGCCGTAGTCTCCGAAGAGCCGTTGTGAAGCTCAGTGTGGTCAGTTGCCGTCGCCATTTGGCAAACCTGACTCAGCTGGCTCCTGGCTATTCCAAAAATGGGCAAAGAGGTGGAGCATGGGTGGAGCTGAAGCGGGCTGAATGAAGCCTGGTTACTGAATCCTTAATATATTTTAAAACAGGTGAGTTATATGAAAATTCACACCTCATACAGTTGTAATGAATGGGCAATTTAACTATAAAGGCCAAAACAGTTGTTGGTTCCAGGGTGTTAACATGTTTCTTTCTGCTGTAAATTTGAGCATTTTAATATGGGGCCTCATAGAGATTGACTCACTTCTATAGCCAGCCTCAAGCGGGCCGTTCGTGGAACTGCAGTATTTGTTACTTGGTGCGACATGCTTCATTTGCAGCCCTGGAGGTTGCCGCTTTCTCACAAAGTGATTAACCATCAAGTGAAGTCAGCCTACACCGGTCTTTAATCCTTTTGTTACTTCTTCAGTCAGAGAAAGTAAAACTTGAATCACTGACTTTTAAAAATCTGTAGTCAAGTAGAAGTACTGTTACATTACAGAAATATTACCTCCCTACAAATAAATCTACTGGTGTTTGAAGTAAGAATTAGTGAAGTAATGCAAAGTTAGGAAAAATACAACGTATTCTTCTAAAAAACTACTCACTACTATTATTAGTTACTTTTTAACCGTTTTAACCGTTGATGCATTACCAATAGTAGGCATTCAATAAAAAGGTACTTTCAACAAAGCACATTTTTCTGATAAATGATAAAAGGTATGAATGGATCAAACTAAGGCAACTTGTTTTCTGAACAAATATACATGTAAAGCAGGAATTCTGTCTGTTGAAAGCACTAACAATCCTGTGTAGAACACGTAGTGTTTTCATGTGTTTTTCATGCCAGATTCACTCGCAGTGGTAAAAAGAAAACCCTCTTTAAATGGGAAGCACTAAGAGTGTATACAGCAGACATCTGCAAGGGCCCAGTCTACAAATCTGGATGGTGAACAGTTAGATACAGAAAGATACTGTGTGTAATTCAGGTTACCTTGTCCAGTGATTAGAGCCTTGAGCTCTCTCAGCAGATAGTGAACAGTCTTCACTTTCACTTCTGTTTCTGCGCTGCAGTCCTCCATGCTGTGTGCATCCTGAGGGACTTTATCAACCTGTCCAGACTCCAGCTGCATTTTTGACATCTTCATGGTACAGGTGTGTATGTGTGTGTGTCTGACAGCTGTGTGTGTGTCTGTGGCCGTGCTTTGGGTATTGATGTCTTTCACTGGAACAAAGTCCTCCTCTTCTCGATCAAACTCTTCCCTACAGTCTGTACGCAGGGCTTCAGAGTCAGACCGGCAGTCAGTCTGGGGGAGAGGCAGCCGGTCTAAGTGAGGATGGGGTGGAGGGGTGGAGGTGTCAGGTGGAGGAGTAGCAGCGGAGAAGGTTTGGCGTTGTGATGCAGGTAAGTGAGACTGCAGCGGGGTGTGAGGTCGTTTCTGAGGTGGGTGGAGCTTTACGCCTGAATGTGCAGCTGGAACAGTAGGCTGACGTGTTGCTCTTGGAGTCGTGCTTCCTGGTGCACGCTGGACTGAATGACAGCTCCTCTGGCCTGAAGGTGGAGATGAGGGGAAGATGAAGCAATATTAAGAAGGTGGGACACCAACACTGATATTTAAGCTACCTATCAATGACTATCACTTCCAATCCTCCCTGCAAGTCTGTTGTCTTTATTATTGACCCAATCTCTCTGTAATTTCTCATATAAACAATAGCTTCAATATTTTTTGTAAGTAATTTCAGGCACCCAATCTACTTTTATAGGTCCAGTGTGTAACATTTATGATCTCTTCTCAGAAATAGAATAGAATATTCATAGGTATGTTTTCATTAGTGTTAAGTTTTTGTTACCTTAGAATATTTTGTTTTTTTATCAACAGAGGGAGCAGAATAGGAGTATGCCATTTTGAACCTCTATATTTCTACTAGGGCTTCCTCCCAAAACTCGATGATTTGAGTCATCAGTTGAGAAGACCCCAAGTCGATTTTGTCAGTCGAATCTCTAAACTGTTTTTCCCAGCGGCGTCCCAAATCCACGAAACTAAGGCCGCATTCAGACTGCAGGCCAAAGTGACACAAATCTGATTCATTTATTTTTTGCTCATAGGTGAGTCAGATCAGATTTTTTCATGACAGTGTGAACTGAAGAAATCACATGGAATCTGATCTTTTCAATTCTGAATCGGGCCATATTCATACAGGATCAGACGCAGGTCAGATTTTTTGCAGTTTGATGTCAGTGTGAATGTCATATCAGAATTCATGTGACTTTTAGACTGGCATTTGTCATGCGGGTTACTTCAGAGCTGTGGCTTGTTCACACTAGAATATGATATGGGCCACATTTAAAAGGTTATGTGAACAGCAAAGCAAAAAAATCAGATCTTAGCAATAAATTGAGCGCTAAGGCTTGCAGTGTAAACATAGCCTTTCTGTGATGGAAGTGGATAAGAGCATGATACCAGACAGCGGGGCAGCAGCTGCTCGATACGCTCTGCTCCAGTGCTGACTGGCAGATGGAGGTACATCCTCATTTGCTGCCATCCACTGTGACTGGCTTTTCGGCTGACAGACACCCAATCCGATTTGACTGACAAAATTTGAATTCAGGTACAGCCTTAGTATCTCTCAGCCACTATAGTTTCTCCTACACTCTTGTAAAACAAGCAATATTCAGATGTCACAGCAAATGCTCACAAGCATGGAAGGTAATGTTGGCATTAATGCCAACGATTACTTCTTTGCTGATGAAGTAATCAACTCATCGTTTTCTGTTTGACTTGAATGTTGTTTATTGGTTATATTGAACATCAGTTTCTGAAGTTCAGTGTGACAACATATTTATTAGTTTTACTGAAAGATATAACATCGACATTTACTGCGGGAGTTCTGCAAACGTGATGAGTGACATGCAGGCTTCTTGGACTTCTATTTCACACATATGAGACTAAAAGTAATCAGAGAGGTGTTGCAGTGTTTCGGCTCCAGTCTTGAAGGACTGCTATACATTTTGCATACCAGCAGGTGTGACTGTGCTGTCACTTGTTTGTTGCCAATATGTACACACTGTACATTAGAGACCACAATGGAAATAAGTCTTGGGCTTCATTATCCTTAGCATTGTGAAATTTTAAGGATAGTGAACTAAACCTCTCTCTCTCACACTCAGACACACACACACACACACCTACCTGTCTGTGTAGGTAGTTTCTTGACAGTCCTCTTACCCAGTGAGGTAGATGGTCTGGATTTGGTTGCTCCACCCATCACTGCTGTGGGAAGGCTTGGCATGGCTTACACACACACACACACACACACACACACACACACACACACACACACACACACACACACACACACACACACACACACACACACACACACACACACACACACACACACACACACACACACACACACACACACACACACACACACACACACACACACACACACACAAAAAAGGAGTTATGGAATAGTGTTGATTATTAATCTCTCAATCATTAAACAAATAAAATAAACACAATCAATCAACTGATTGTGTTTCAGCATTTCATGACCATGTTATCTAACCTGCCTTCTCAGCCTGAAGGATGCCACTAAGCAAGGCAGCACATCGGTCCAGACCCTTATGGAGAGAAGTGACCTGAGAGGACAGAACACAGCTGTGAGTATCACTAACATGTAGTCATCATGTGATTAAATTAATCTAATATGACACAATATGAAATTGTTCATTGTAAACAGTCCTCACAGCTGAAAGACCCATTTCCTGTCACAGTTTTCCTGTACAATGAGGGACAAACAATTTCAGATAAGCTCACTTTTAGTTTGATAACTAAAATAATGATAATAATAATTATTAAAGCTGCAAGCAGCGATGAATGGGCCCTCGCACTCCACGCAACTCAGGTTGTGCTGCGGCTGCGTCACATGCCGACTGACACGTGCGGACCACAACATGAAAATGTCACGTAAATCAGATCAAAATCGCCACGCAGCACTTACTTCCTGTTGCCAGTAGGTGGCGCTATCACTATATCTGAATATTGTCATGTAGAGGTATTCAGATTGGACCATGTACACTGAAGTTGTGAGGACGTATTCAGGGTGGGACTGTTACAGAATATGTGAAGTTTAGTGGAGATTGGACATTGTACACTGAAGTTGGGTACTATCTGTTTTGTGGTGAATGGTCGAAATTCGAAGTAACGCCAGGCGGGACGCGGTTCGACATACAGTCACAATTTTTCAGTTTGTTTTGATTATACTGACAAATTTCAAAATTCAAAATGGCCGACTTCCTGTTGGGTTTGGGTTATGGGTCCAAGAGGCATTTTTGCTTGTCCCACCATGAGACACAAGTGTAGCAATTTTTGTACATGTCAGTCATATGTGTCTTGGGGGCTGATTCTGGGCGGCGTTTTAGACAGAATGTCGCAAATAGCACAACTTTTAATCGTGAATGTCTTTAGATGTCCAAATCTGAAGTCGATCCGATAAATTCCCTAGGAGGAGTTTGTTCAAATACAACGTGTGCATTATGCAGTATGTGTGTTCAGGGCTCTTATATGACACGCCCACTTGCCCACAGGCCTATAACTGCCTCGCTCAAGCCAAAGAGGAGGGGCCATAGTATGCCTTTAACAGTACAGATGGTCAGAAATCAAAATTGTATTAATTTTAAAGTGGAATTGTGTAAATGTGTGACACATCCATCCATTTGCTGTACCCGCTTGATATTTGACCAGCTATGATGTTTGAACATGTGTTTATGATTTTCAAAGGCTCCACTTGTTTTGAATAGTGAGTAAATGACATGGAAGTGAGTAAGTTATGAACTGTCATGAAAGGCTGTTATATAGGGGCTGAACTCTTCAAAGGACACCACACAGATTGATTGATTGATTGATTGATTGATTCCTGTAGCTGTACCTGCTGTGTTCATCTGCATCATTATCCTGCTCAAAATGGGAACAGCTTTTTTCATTACCTGGTCTTCAGAGTCTGTGGAGTACAGAGAGTAGGCTGGCTCAGGGCAGGCTGTTGGTCCTGGACTTAGAGTCACTCTATCAACACAAGTTGGGAGGAGCACAGCACAGAATGGTCAGAGGAGTGCCCGCAAAAACATACAGTGTATTAAAGTGTACAGTAATGAAGTTTTAAAAAAGGTGAAGAAATATTAGTGCACTCACCGTCTCTTGGCTGGCTGGACTTTGACTCTTCCTGCCAGCCTTCCTGATGTCACTACCTGCCAGTCAACCAACACACCACAGTCACAAGCATGTTTAACACATAAGGCTGTAGTATTTCATTTACCTGGACATTGGAGAGATTCCCTCCAGACATTAACACATTTATTCTAGAGCCTGACAGATTTTAGAGGGGACAGTTTTGCTACTAAGATACTCAGAAGGTTGTTTTCTTAAGTTCTTAACTTTATAAGTTAAATATTCTTTAACATGTTAAACAATTTAACATATACACTGTCAACCAATTCTAACACTAAACAAATAAAGAAAATAAAGAATAAATAAAAATAAAATAAGTAGCTAAACAATCAGTACTGTAAAAACTACAAGCAATTTTGCATTATAAAAACAGTTTTCATATTGGTGCATATCTGCTGATGTCTGCAAAAGGCCAATATCGGATCTAATATATACAACAATGTGTGTTTTTTTCCCGCAAAAAATTGACTTCCAAACTATTTGTGATGTGATGCTCCTTCTAGTGCCAAACTGACAAACACATACATCATTCTTCACAGTGAAGATCAATCATCACACTGTCGCAACAAGAAGAAAAACTGATTTTTGAGTGATGGGGACCTTAAATCTGGACATCCCTGTTATTTCATGAGGTACTAAGAATTACTGGTGTTGTTGCATGAAAACACTACTTGTTTAGGAATTACATTTTGTATTAGTTAGTTACCCAACAGCCTGGAATGACTGATTTAAAAATGTTCACATCCCACATCATATGTGACTTTGTATTGTTAACACGAAAATGAGGCACAACAGTCCTGTAACACCACAGGCTTTTGTTCTTGCTATATATCTAGTAATATCAATGTAAGATGTAACGTTAAAAATCACTAAGTCAACCCGATGTGACACTTCATCGAAGCAACGTCATGGAGTCAGTAAACCCACCGAGAACTCGTGCAAACAGTATCCTGATGTCTTTGAGAAGCTTCTCTTACAGGTCAAATTACCCTGACAAACGGCCAACGCTAGTTCACTGTGTATTTTTACTGTAGTCGGTCTTACCTTGCTTTTAGCTGTTCCTTTCATAGTTAACGACAACTTCAGTCAACTAAAACCTGCTTGTTCTGTTCTTTCAAACGAAGCGGAGACTTGATAGACTTTAGCTGTTACATTTTAGAGGTTTACTTCATGTAAGGATTTGTTTATACAGGTTCCGGGTCGTAGCCATTGGTCCTAACACAAGTTTGAAACGAATAAAAAAAAATGTAACGTTAGCTGACCAATCAGAATGACACGCCCCGCCCAAAATAGGCGGAGCTACAGGACAAGGAAGAACTTTCCCCCTGAAAATGTTACCTATGGCAGTGAATGGATTCCTGTTTGGATAATCACACAACTGTTATAGCCATGTGTTATATTTAAATTCGTTTTCTCCGTCAGACGTTACTACAGTGCGTACGTCCCTCCCTGGCCGTTACTATGGAGACACCAATATTCTTGCTTTAATTTCCCTGGGGAAAAATAAAGTATCAATCTATTCATAGGGGCGCGAAAACAGCAGATTCCTTCACAACCTGGAATCCGGGGACCCCCAGGGCTTCATTTCCCAATTATTTCATTAACCACTGTTCCACACTCCTTACACAGCTTATTAAATACTTGAACCTGCGGCCGGGAAACCACGTTGCTTACATTGATTAATCATACCTTTAATTGATCATTGACCAGTTGTGGAAGTACTCAGCTCATTCTCAAACTCCTACATATAAAACCTAAAGTAAAAGTGTACTTTCAGCAAAATGTAATTTTAGTATCAAAAGTAGAAGTTCTCAGGGGAGTAAAACTGTCATTGTTTTATATCTGGTGTTTTTGGGTTGCTTAAATGTGTAAGTTGCATTTTACTTTACACATTGATGGGTAGGTACATTTACAGAAATGCTGCCCTTTATTAACCACAGCAGCTTCTTTATGAGCACAGAACAACCATTTTCAGCTTTCACAACGCACTTTCCTAATTAACTCAATCACCAAATTTGGATGTGTGGTTTTCACTGGTCACAATGGGTATGAAAAATTGGGATCCTAAAAGTAACTATGGCTATTGCTGTAAGAATGTAGTGGAAAGTATAAAAGTACAATATTTGCCTCTGAGATGTCAAAATAAACTCCACCACTGTCTGAATATGTAGACTAGAGCAACTACATTTACCAGATATATGGATTCAAAAGAACAATATTTTCCCTAAAATGTAGTAGAGTATAAAGTAAGTATAAAGTAAATTTAAAAAGTTAGAACTGAATCTGCACATTTACACATTTGACAAATGTAGACTGCTTTGAACAAATAATTATTTATTGGTGATCTTTATCCTAGTAGAAAAGAAATAACAGGGATTTGACAGTCTTAAGTTTTGACTTTTGGTGAGATTTTCCTTATGTTGTACTGATGATCAAAAAATAAAAACAATAAAACAAACAGATCACGTTTTTAACATCTCACTTGACATTTCAACTTTGTCTGGCTTGAGAGAAACCATTTTTTTTTCTTCGAACAAAACGCAGATAAAACTACAAGCTGAACATCTGAAAAGAAAAACAACTCAGGTCAGTGCTGTGTGGGTGTGCTGCTCTAATATTCCATCTAATCCCATTCTTCTTCATCATGTGCAGTCTGAGCAGCCGACTGGCTCTGCACGCTGTCGTCTTGGACAGATCCTCCCTGTGGGCCCTGAGGACACAGTGAGGACCACAAGCGAAGAGAAAATGAGGACAGGCAGTTACACTGACATCACAAATACTCCATAGAAAAAAACAAAACCAAAAAAAACCCATAAAAGTCAATCCAGCTACCTTTCTGGAGTCTGAGGAGGCAAATGTCTTTCTGGGGGCGACGCCCATGCTACCAGGGCCACTGAATGCAGAATCCTCCAACCATGAAGGCACTTCCTGCTGAGCCTGTCAATCCCAGTCAAAATATGGAAACAATCAAGGCCAACAATGACTGTGCTTTAAGTCCTCCCTAGTGATACACAATGTCTGCACTTTAAATGACAGAAGAATATGTTTTCTCATGGGGAATATTCCAGTTAGTTACTACTTATTATCAAAATAAAAGGCCCTAGGTGAAGTAGGTGCTATCCACAGGGTTTCTGCAGGTTAAAGTTAAGACTGTTTGAAGACCATTATGAATGCAATTTAAGATCTGTTTTACATATTTTATATTGGAAAAAAATTAAAGCAAGGAAATTAAAGAAATTTTATTGGTTCCATGTCAGTTTTCGTTTTGCTCAATTTTTCACAAAAACATTAACATCGTTGGAATTTAGACTTTTTAAGACCCCACGGACTCCCTGTATCCAGATTTCTTTCTGCTCTCCAGACTGCTTTTACCTTGGACAGGATTGTGACTAGGGAGCGAGCCAATTGGTCATCAGAATCTGGGTCAAAGAAAGACACCGCCCTTCCAGTGTTACCACAGCGGCCAGTTCTCCCAATACGGTGGACATATTCGTCAATGTTGTTGGGGAGGTCAAAGTTCACCACATGCTGTACATCTGGAATGTCCAGACCACGGGCAGCCACAGAGGTTGCCACTAGGACTGGACATTTGCCAGAGCGGAAGTCTGCCAGAGCCTGCTCTCGCTCCCGCTGCTCTCGGTCACTGCAAGACAACAACACATTACTGTCAGCACTAAAGTGAAAACACAGATTTCTGGACACACTACTTACCCATGAATGCTGGTGGTAGGAACCTTTTCCTGGCACAAGTAAGTGGCAATGAAATCAGCTTGTCTCTTGGTCTCCACAAACACCATAGTGCGCTCCATTCCTGCAAAGTTACATTTTGAGCTAAGTTACTTGGTGATGTTAATTACAGGCATGTTCCTCTATACAGGTTGTCTGCAGGTTTCAACAGGTTACAGTTATTACTTTTTAAAGATCTTTTAAAGACCAGTATGAATGACCAGTTTTTCTCCCAAATAAACATTTAAAGCAAAACTGAAAATGCAACTATAGACAAGTATTGTTAACTTTATTATAATATATATAATAATAATATTTATAATATAATCCAATCAATTATTGAAAGATTATTCTAAATCATATTTAAGAAATAGGCCATTACTGTATTGTACTTCATTTTCCCTACATAAAATCAATCATCCACACCCCACAGTGCTTTAGAGTGAGGTCTGCTGTGTTTGCAAACAGTACTGCAAACAGCCTTTTCATCAATAAGTGTCTATTCTTAGCTGTTAGGATTAAAGTACAGTTATTCTGACAGTCATTTAAAAAGTGAAATTATTGTCTTCACTTAAATTTAGGTTTTCCTCAAGCAAGAGGATCGAAATATCTGCAAAAACACACCAGTTGTCTTGAGGAGGTCAAGGAGTTGCTCCCTTTTGGAGAACTTGGTGACCTGGACAAATGTCTGCTCCACATCACTGCAGGCTCCGCCAACCACACCCACAGCCAAGAACAAATAGTCGGTCTTGAGAAAGTCTGCTGCCATCCTGTAAAAACATGCTTCCATATTCATACACGTCAAGTTCAATGATAGGACAGCTGTCTCTATCAACAGTAAAAGCTGTCGTTGATGAAGGAGCAGACCTCTGAATGTCCTCAGGGTAGGTGGCACTGAACATCAGCGTCTGCCGGTTCTCTTTTGATGGCATTCCGGGGGAGCCCACCAAGCGACGCATGTCAGGCTCAAAACCCATATCCAACATCCGGTCAGCCTCATCCAGCACAAAGTACCGCACCTTACTCAACCCAACCTAGAGCACAGAGTTTAGTTGCATATTCAAGCCTTCAACTAAAGCTAAACTAAAACTGATGTAAACATCTTTGAATTGACTACCTTTCCTCTTCCAATCACATCCAACAGTCTCCCTGGTGTTCCACACAGCACATTGCATCCCCTTGAGATTTCTCTTATTTGATGTCCAGTGCTGACTCCACCATAGACTACTACTGGACGCACACATGTCCTACAACAGTCAGATCAAATTAAGATTAGAAGGCAGCAGAATGTTCAACTTCATCAGGGCATATTTAACATCTTGCTGAGCGATTAAGGGGTTATTGAGTCGTTGACAAAACCAGCCAAACCATACCCAAAGGCGAACTTCCTGGCCTCTAGGTAAATCTGGTTGATGAGCTCCCTAGTTGGAGCCACGATGACGGCTTCAGGCTCCTGCAGCTCACTGAAGGAACTGGCTGCCACACCGTCTGCCATCAGCTGCTGCAGAATAGGGAGCAGGAAAGCAGCCTGGAGGCAGGAAGATACATTTAAAATATGTCCACAAGCAAACTTACGGGTTGATTCTGTCATCTCACCGTTTTACCAGATCCAGTCTGGGCACAGGCCATAAGATCTCTACCAGCAGAGATGATTGGAATGCCATGCTTCTGCACAGGGGTCGGCTTCACATAACCAGACTTGCTGACTGTTTTTCTCAGCGACTCACACAATCCTGCCTCATCAAAAGTCTGAAGGGGGAAAAAAGCTCAGCATACCATCTATACAACAGCTTAAACACCCTTGTAAACCTGCTGCCTTTTATTTCAGTTGTCTGTTTAAGGCTGATTTATAGTTGTACATGAACTCTACACCATTATGAGCATTTATACTTGTGTGTTTTTATGTGTCTATTAGTCTGTATTAGTCCTATGTCACAAGCAAGACTGAAAAATGTAACTTTTTACAAGTAACGTTAACTTCAGTAATCCCATCGATTTTAAGACCTGTCACTATCATATTTAAAAACATTTTAAGACCCAAGAATAAATTATTGTATTTGAGATTTTTTAAGACTGCTGTGTTACATCAACAAATATAAACTCGGGCAAGACTATCAAATCAATCTATAACATGTAAAATGCCCCTCCATCATCACTTACTAAAGCATCTTTCATTTATTATTTTTACAAGCCAGCTACTACAAAGAGACACAGCAAATCGTCAAATGTAAGACTAAGTGTTTATTGCCTAATTAATTAATTCTTCTCACCATTATAGCCTGTGGTGGATTGGCTCCACTGACATCCACCAGGATGTCATCATACTTGTCAAAGTTGATGCCCGTCTCATAGTGGGCAAAAATGGAGTCTTCATCTTCAGGGAGGGTTGGGGGAATATATGTGACCCTTGGTCCTGTGGGTTGGAACAGAAATTCTTTGTGGCAGGATTGGAACAAGCTTGTCCATACTGCTGGACTGCACTGAACAGTTCATTAACTTACTTTCACCATCGGTTGCATCCTTATTTTCTTTATCTTCCCCTGTATCAAACACGCATCAATCACAAGAGTGAAAACTTAAATCCAAAAATCATTCAGTTAATTATAAGATTGATTTATTTAAAACTACTACTAACGTTGAGAAAAGACCTCCTCATCTTTTCCACGGTAGCCTGCAACAACACAAGACACACTCAACACTGACAAACATTAAACAATGACTCTTCCGTAAGATTAAATGATTCCTCACTTACCTCCTCCAAATCCTCCTCTGCAACCTTGGTCACCACCTTCAATATATTATCAACAGTTAATGATCTGCTCCTCACAGTTCACATTAAGAGTGGATTACTTTAATAGCAATATTTCTTAGCATTCTAGAAAAACAACATCTAGGCTCTCCTGCTTTACTATTACAGGATTGAAACAAAAAATACCTGATCTGAAACCTCCTCTGCCTCCTCTGCCGCCTCGGCTGCCTCCCCCTGTTCAGAACATTTAGTATTGAACCACAAACACTCACATACAGGAGATTAAACTATTGCTTTGTATAAAATTACAACTCCAGGTGTAAATAATAGTGAAACATAAACATGTTTTTGTACTATGTGTGTGTGTGGGGGGGGGGACCTACCATTTTCACACACTTGATTGTCATCCTCTGTGAAAATCAAGGCAGTTTATACAAGTCAGATGCACATAGAATAGACCTGATATTTGTCTCAAAACCAAACAGATGAAACATTACCATTGAATTCACTGCGATCCGTTCGGCTGAATCCTCTGCCACGCCCTGATAAAATAATCACACGCGATTTCAGAAATGCAGTTCAAACTACAGACTGACCCAACTTAATTTTGCTTATAATACAATGCAGTATGTGCTCATTACACTGTTCCAAAATGGTTGACTTCATGAGAATTGTCCCTGGAAGCCCGTGTATCATCAGCCTACCTGTTTCACCTTTCTTATGAATTTCTTCATATCTAAAACCTAAGCAAAGATGCACCAATATAGACCTTCAGGGTCAATAACAAGAACTGATAATCTTTTTGTTGTGGCCAATACTGATTGAATAACCAGTAATATTCATCTTACATTGTGATTTTTTTTTAAAGTTATTCTTTTGGCCTTTTGTTGGCTTTATTTTTATAGAGACAGCTGTAGAGAGACAGGAAAGGTGGGTGGAATGAGAGGAGATGACAAGCAGCAAAGGGCCGCAGGTCGGATTCAAACCCCGGGCCGCTGCAGCAACTCCATATATGGGTCACCAGCTCTACCGGGCGCCCCTACATCGTGATTTTTGGGCAACTAAAACTTACTGCAGAAGAAAGTCAATTGAGACACAGAGAGAGAGAAAAAGAGAGGCAGGGCAACAGAGTGTGTACAAGAGAGACACAGAACAGAGTTTGTGTGTGCATGGCTTGTGTGGGTGAGTTAAGCACAGTTCATGTCGCACCTCTGCCTCCTCTACCTCTAAAACCTCCTTCTCCAGCTGTACTGTTCCAGTTGTCGCCATCTATAAAGAACAAATTAGAGGGTCAGTAGCACAAAGGCTAAGAAGCTACTCATAAAGCAAAAGGTCCAAGCACCAAAAATAGCTTCCTTCTACAATGTCCATGAGGTTCAACTTCTTCCCATCTAAGCATTAGTAACGCATACTTCCACAGATACCTGGTTTTAATTGTCTGGAAGCAGCAACACTGCTTACACATAATCAGTGTAACAGTAAATTGTTAAGGGGACTAAAGGCCCAAATATAGTTTTGCACACTTTAAGTGTCTACCATCATACAGGACTAGAGAAACTACAAACTATTCACATTTGAGAAGCTGAAATCAGAGAATGTGGACATTTAAGAACTTAATGACTCAAAACGATTCATCAAAGTAGTTGACATTTAATTTAATAGTTGACAACTAATCAACTGTTGAAGCTCTTTTATGCAGCTATAACCAACATTTTGGAAATTATCTGACAATGTTCAGTTATTCAACTGCTCTTTAATCAAATGTCTCACATAAGTTCATAAGAGGCCATTGTGGCATCTTGCCATTTATATTGTTACTTATTAAAATGACAAAGAATCTTGTCATTGAAATGATCAGTCACTCAACAATCATTTAACTACTTTTTTGATAAGAGATGAATGGGCACCTGAGGAGAATGAGCTTTTAAATCCTCCTCCTCTGCCCCTTCCACCACGACCTAGAGTGAAAGAAGAGAGAATTATCACCAATATCCTCTCTTGGATAGATAGTCTTTGCTCATCCTTTCCACACTTACCCCTTCCAGATTCACCATTGGCAGTATTCCAAGACCCTTCTTGTCTGCCTGAAAACAAGGTGTTAAGTTCCAATAATCCACCGTCTTTGTTAGAGTTACCCAATTATTGTAGTTACGCATAACCTTAATTTCCACTGTTACAAAAAGGGGATTTCAACAGCTAAAGGACAGAGCATTCAACTTAACATATTTAACATGGATGTTGTCCTATTAAACTATTAAAAGTCCAGTGTGTAAGATTTATTATTAGCATTATACCTACATAATTACATACATACATAGCAGTAAACATACCTTCACTAGTGGTGGTTAGTGTGGTAGTGCTAGTAATAGTAGTTCCCTGTGAAGATGGGTAGATTGAAAATGTGTTGACTGTCTGGCTCCATGACAGGAACAACAAAGCTGAACATAATTAGTAATCAACTCATCTGGTTTGGCACTTTGACACTAAACTAACTTACCTCTTCTTCCCACTCATCCATGTTTATTCACCTGAAAAACACAAACACAACATTCAAAGGCTGAAAAATGTATTACAATTTTTTTTTTGCTACCACATAACATGGGACAGTTAGAGTTAACGTTAGTTACATAAATCTAACGTAAGTAACCCTAGGAAGGACAGGGGAAAGGAAAATGAATATCACTACATTAATTAAAAAAAAATAAAAAAAAGGTATCGTTGCACATAAATACAATCTTACGTAACTTAATGATAATTATTTTGCGTTATCAGCACGTTATCAGACTAACACCGCGTGACACGTGAAACCACTGACCTCGTGCAGTTTGCAAATTAATACTAGCAAAGTATTATGTTAAAGTTAGCTTCTGTGGGAACAGTAACTAGTACTAAACGTACTATAGGGGCCCTATAAGCTTTAATAGCACATTAAAAGTTAATTGACCCTTTCAAAGAAACTTTATCCAAGTAGACTACCTGTAGCCAACACTGTAAAACTATTTTTCAAAAAAAGTTTGCGCTAGTTTTGGCTAAAATAATCCCGTCAGACTCCATTTTAACACGGGACAGCTTGCGGTTTCTTTGATTTGGCCGCACCCTTTTACAAAAAACTCAAATAAATCGATATTATTTTTAAAGAATAGTGCTTACTAAAATAATTTAACCTAGATTTTGAAGGTGAAGGCTACGTACGCCAAAAGAAAATCTTTTCAAAGAAGTAGCATGTGATGCTAACGTTAGCTAAAATGAACTAACTCGGCAAAGTAGAACATGTGTCATATTGACAGAATATCTGTTCTGTTATCTTAAAATGGTTAACGAACTGATGAAAACTAACTAACGTTAGCTAACGTTAACTAACTGCTAACTTGCATTACCTTACTGAACTTGTAACGTTACTTGGTTCGTCGGTAAGATTCGCAAACTCCCTCGTGGCAGAGCTCAGCTTCGTCTGTCAAGTCACAGTTGAATTTGGGGTGTGGTCGAACGCACCGTGCAAACCGAGCAGCTAGCTAGGGTTGCCAGTTCCGCTGATTTCCCGCCCAACTGAACTGTTTTTGAAAAACAAGTAAAACAAAATTAATATGAATAATTATAAATTGTAGTCAGGTGTGTTTCGCTCTACAAAGACTATTGTATTTATTTCAAATAGTTCTTTTTTTGTTCAGATAATGTTCAACGGTGATGGAGAAAGGGTTGTTGCTTTAATTCCCCCTTTTTGAGTTATATACGGGTGAAGGTATGTCTATACAGTCCGGTACTGCTTACCACATACCCATCATGATCACCTTTCCAACAATACAATTTCCAACTGCGCAGATCGACTCTGGCATCATCCTCCCTGCCCTTAACTGACTTCAGAGGTTTATAATAGTGTCTAAACATTTTCTTAATCTTGCCATTTCAGATTTCATGCAACGAATATTGACAAGCATGGTATTCATACATCTGTTGACGGAACACTACAAACTTGTATATCTGAGCTGTTTTAAGTGATTCCAGACCTGCAAACAAGTAAATAGTATGCCCTTAATGTTCCTCTCTGTTTGAGATTTGTTAGAGTAGTCCTCCTCCTTGTCATGAATTGTTAATTTCTCTTCTGATCTTTGAACTCTTTAGTATCAACAAACTACTACTTGTTTGTTTATTTATAGAATGTTATTGAAGCACTATATAATTTTCCAAACTAATTAATACTAATCATTCATTCATAAAGTCATAACGCCTTGATATTTCGTTATGTTCCAATAATAAGCCTACATTTTCATTTACAAGAGGAGTTGTTTTGTTTTGTTAGTTTCTGTTGACCAGCGTTCTTGAAGCTGATTCTATTGATATATTGCTCAACTATAGTGCTCTCTGCTGGGAAAATTATGTAACAGCACTATTTCTAAATTACCTCAAATATACATTTGGCATTCTTGTAACTGCACGTTTGATTTTATATCTGCAGATGCTACTGATGCATTTGTGATAAGGCAAACTTGGAAATAATATTAGCTTGCCAGTATATCAGTGGGGCTCTATAAGAGAGTTCTAGCATGTGGCTCAAAACATCACACACACAAACCTTGGGAGCAATGTACAGCGTTTGGGAACTTCAAAATTTAGGTGAGTCAGGAATAATTTATTGGCCAACTTTTTATTGTACCCTTACTGGCCTATTGCAGATGGTCAGTTTTACTATAATCTATCTGTCTTCTGTAGCTGGATACACTGGATTTAAACACTTAATAACATAGTGTATACAGTATATGAAATATGAAAAATTGTCCCCTCAGTAATTGACCAGACACATTAAAAGATTCCACCATAAACTAAAAGAAAGCTAATTTGTTCCCCTCAGTATTCAGTGTTAAACTGACTTACATGTACACACAAACACACATAAACTCACTGAGCTCCTCCTGCTTCATGTTGGTGTCCACATTAACCAGCAACAAATCATGTTAAATACAGACCACTGTGTTACTGCTGTTGTTGATGAAGAATCTGGACAAACTTTTGAAAAACTGCCCTCATTTGAGAAATTTAGGGGAACAGTAAAATATCTATCTATATGAATAATAAAGCAGTGTTGTCTATTCCTGCTGTGAGCTGCACTTAACACATGTTACACACTGGGCATGTGTGCAGTACCCTCCCACCCCTAAAAAAAATACTGTTCCCCTAAAAGCCACGGTGTAATTTGAACACTGCACTAAACTATGCACTTTATCACTAAGTTGTTGGTCAGTTGGATACAAACAGGAGCCTGACTGTTCAGTGAGCCAAACAGACCTGCTGATGCAGGTGTGGCAGATAGCTCAAATACTATGAGTAGAAGTCAGCAACATTAACCATTCGTAGAAGTTGCAGAGTAGTCTGGAGTCCATGTTGAGCCTCCACAGCCCAAGGAGAAAGAATGCCTTGCTGTCTTTGTGATGGTGTTTGTGTGTTAAGTCCGGGTCAGGTCCTCGCTGATGTAAACCATGAGGAATTAGAATCTGCTGACTGTCTACTTTAGTCCCCATAATGGTGATGGGAGCCTTTCTTACTTCCTGGTGTTTTCTGCAGTCCACAATCAGCTCCTTGTTTTGGTGATGTTAACATAGAGGTTGTTGTCCTGGCACCAAGATGTCAAGGCTTTGACCTTCTCTCTTAAGGCCGTCTCATCGTTGTTGGTGATCAGGCTGATGACAGTTGTGTTGTCGACAAACTTGATGATAGTGCTGGAGCTGTGGCTGGCCAGACAGTTGTGTGTGAACAGGGAGTACTGGAGAGGGCTGAGCATGCAGCCCTGTGGGACATCACTGTTGAGAATCAAGTTGGAGGATGTGATGCTGCCTTCGAGTCAGGAAGTCCAGGATCTAATCACATAGGGCAGTGTTAAGTCCCAGGTCTCTAAGTTTGATGAGAAGCTTGGAGGGCACAATAGTCTGGGATTCTCATCATCCTCTCCTTGTACCCATTGGCCCAGAGTAAGTTTCTCACTAGAAAGTTTTGACTATAGTGTATATCATTTTTTTCAACAAATTCTGTACAATCACCTGTATATAACTATGTGAATAATGAAAATTTATTTTCATTTTTATGTGTTTATTACTTGTTTGTTTGTTTGTACTGATCCGTTAGCCATGGTACAACCTGGGTACAACCATAGTATGATTGAGTCCAGTTCCTTGCAGCAGTATAATCCATTCCAGCAGGTTTTGTAGCAAGAACGCAGTGCATTGTGGGACGTAGGCTGATGGTGAAGTCAAGATGGCTGTGAACGTCAGGCAGAGGAAAGAGCCTGCAGTAGGAAGGCCGTGAATGAAGTTTTGAATAGAAAATCCTTTGTCGCTGCCCGCTTACACCTCAACTATCGTGCTGTTGAAGTTGTAATCAACCTGTGGAGGACTTGATACATTTACAAACAGCAACAGAATAACAAACAACTGAGGATAAAGTCTCGTATGAATTCCGACGAGAAGGAGGACTGTGAGTGTGCGCCACCACAGGCCGAGACTAGCCCCGCAGGAGGACCATATAGGTGGGGAAGCCAAGAGGAAAGCGTCGGGGATGCCGGGGATGCTAGGAGAAACACGGAAAGTGATAGCTAGCTAGCTGTTGCTGTTAGCTGTGGATGCTATTGCTTAGTTGTTTTTATGAATATATTTAGGCAAAGTTTATCACAAGCGTCGGTTGTTTTGAAATGAAAATTGTTTGTACTTTGGAAATGTCATTTTGCATGAATAGGAACGTAAGTTTTATACAAGGCCAGCGGGCTAGCTTGAATTTGCTACATTAGGTTGCTAAGTCAGCGTCAGGGTGTCCAGGTCCCTGACGTTTCTGCTTGACTAGCACTATTGCCCCCCTAATATTTGAGTGTGTGTAATTTTTGTTTAACAATTATTTTGACAGTTAGTAACAGCGTAGGCTTGTTAACATTTTGCAGAATACACTGTGACCCTAATCACTGTAAGGCTAACCTGGTTGCTTTTAGCTACACCGACTCCAGTGTTGTCTCTTAGCTAGAACATCACTTTCATATCATCCCTAAGACATGTGCGATTTCTAAATCAAAATATCATCTAATATTGCCTAGAGTCCCTAATGCATCCAATGGAGAGCCAACAGTATGCGGTGTAATTATAATGTTAATGCAGCACATCGTGACCTCTGCTGTAGTTCTTATCCTTATTGTTTATTATTCAATTAGAGAATACGAGGAGCCTGAAATAGAAAACCCAGAAGCAAGCCGAATGTAAGTAAAACTCATTTTACACTAGTACATTGGTGTGTCTATGAGCATGTATTTAAAACTGCCCTTCTACCTCAGTTTGTTCTTGTCTGTTCTCACTTCTTCTTTTCTTTTCTTCCAGTTAAAGCCTTGTTGATTGTGTTTCTTTATAATCATGTTATGATATGTACACATTGAGCCACAGTTACAGAACTTTGCAACAAAAAAGTGACAATATCATGCTAATATGTTATTCCAAACTGTTGCAGTGCTGAGCACAGGGCATTGCTTGTTTTTACACAGTCTGAAGATTAATGTAATTATTTAAGGAGCACAGTTCAGTTTCTTTAAAAACAAATGGTCATCATCAGCAATAAAGTAGACTGATCGAGTTGAAAGCTCTGATAAAAGCTAGTGCTTTAATTAGACCTTGAGTTAAAATTGTTATGTCAGACTAGTCTGCACAATGTCAAGAATGAATTAAATTAAGTTTAAAAGGGCCATATCAATGTTATTATGCTATGCTTGTGTAAGCTTTGTTTTTTGCCCCGATCCCAATCTGAGTCATTTAATATTCAGTATCCCAATCCGATACATGTGTTTTCCTACATACAGGACAATCACTCTTCATTGCATGAAAAAATGCATGCATCTAAGCTGTTCCTTAATGTTTTTTTTTTTTTGTTTTTTTTTTGCTGTCCCCTTATGCAGCCTTTGCCTGAGTTACCTTAATGAGATGTTTTTATTTTCGGCATCTGTACAGATTTTGTGCAGGGCTTTTGTTGCACTTTCAGCTTTGTGGTGAATGTATGGCTCTCTACTGCTTTCTGTCTCTCCTCCGAGCAGGACATGGAGGAGCGATAGACAGCAGAGAAAGTTAACGATGGTTGCACTGTGCATAAAAGCTTCACAAGTAAAAACACATGTGACAGGTGATGTAAAACAAAGGATCGGATTGGGCTTAATACAGCTCAACAGACACGATCAGTTAAAAATGCTTTGATCAGCCTGACAACGATCTTTGAGATCGGATTGGAACATCCTAATGTTTATGTTAATAAATTCATACTGCCTGACATTGATACCGGATTTATTTAACTCTCAAAAACTGATACTGGTATCGGATACAGGCTATAAATTTTTGTTCAGGCAATACGATAACCAATCTGCTTCTCATGGTCGATATAAATAAGACAACCGATTAAAAAATGAGTCAAAATAACCTGTAGTTTATGTACACCAGAGGGTGGGTATAAAATGGGCAAGATGGATGATAAATCTAACTGACATCCCCAACAAAGTCGTTTTTTCTAGCAAAAAGCATAGAAAAACTTTACCAACATACTTTGGCAGCCAAAGTGCTTCATTCAAAAAATCTTAAACCAAAATGGATGTGGCAGTATATTGTCACTTCATCCCATTTTGCATTGTTAAATTGGATTGTTGCAGTGCTTATAACCTGTTGTCCCTTACCTCTGAATGCAGGAAGCGAGCAGCTGCCAAACATCTAATAGAGCGCTATTACCACCAGTTAACGGAGGGCTGTGGGAATGAGTCGTGCTCCAACTCATGGTGTGCCTCATCGGTCGGCTTCAACCGCATGGACAACAATGCAGCAGCGGTCAAAGCCCTGGAGCTCTACAAGGTCAACGCTAAGCTATGTGACCCCCATCCCTCGAAGAAAGGCACTGCCTCAGCCTACCTAGAGAGTAGTGCTCACAGCAACTCAGCCTGCAGCAACAGGAAGATGAACCATAAAGATGTCCACTCTGTACGGGACAATTTCAAAGGTGAGCTTTCAGGATTTACACGCTATGGATGAATGAAATTGAGCCGAACATACTGTTAAAGTCACATGATTGTGTAGTCTTATGTCTAACCTTTTAATGTTTGATTCTTTTTGTAGATGTAAATTACCTGACAGAAGAGAAGATTTATGAGATCTTGGACATCTGTGGAGAGAAGGAAGATTACTCACCTCTGATCAGGGTAATAGGTCGGGTGTTCTCTAGTGCTGAGGGCCTGGTGCAGAGCTTCCGGAGGTCCAAACCTCACACCAAGGAAGAGCTCAAGTCCCTTCAAGGTAAGGATGAGGACAAGGATGAGGACGAGAAGGAGGCAGCTGCCTGCTCTGCAACAGCTATGGAGGAGGACTCCCCTGCCTCCTCTTCATCGTCAAGGCTCGGAGAGGGCTCCTCAGGGGAAAATGATGTCCAAAAGCTGGCCCCTGATGAGGTGTCGGTAGACATCGAAGCTGTACGGCGGGTCTATGAGCGCCTGCTGTCCAATGAGAAGATAGAAGCTGCCTTCCTGAATGCACTGGTCTACCTCTCACCCAATGTAGAGTGCGACCTGACGTACCACAATGTTTATTCACGAGACCCAAACTACCTGAATCTGTTTGTTATAGTGATGGAAAACAGTAACCTCCACAGCCCAGAGTACCTGGAGATCGCTCTCCCGCAGTTCTGCAAGGCCATGAGCAAACTCCCACTGGCAGCTCAGGCCAAGCTGGCGCGCTTGTGGTCGCACTACAGTGCTGAGCAGATCCGGCGCATGGTGGAGACCTTCCAGCAGCTCATTACCTACAAGGTGATCAGTAACGAGTTCAACAGCCGCAACCTGGTAAACGATGATGACGCAGTGGTGGCAGCCACCAAGTGCTTGAAGATCGTCTACTATGCAAATGTGCTGGGCGGGGACCTCGACATGGAGCACAACGAGGAAGAGGACGAGGAGCCCATCCCAGAGTCCAGCGAGCTCACCCTGCAGGAGCTACTGGGTGAGGAACGACGGAACAAGAAGGGCCCTCGGGTGGACCCGCTGGAGACGGAGTTGGGGATCCGAACCAATGATTGCCGGCGGCCGCTCGTTCCGTTTGAGGAATTTGTCAATGAGCCTCTTAACGAGGTGCTGGAGATGGACAAGGACTACACTTTCTTTAAGGTTGAAACTGAAAACAAGTTCTCCTTTATGACCTGCCCCTTCATCCTGAACGCGGTCACCAAGAACCTGGGTCTGTACTATGACAACCGTATCCGAATGTACAGCGAGCGGCGTATTACTGTGCTCTACAGCTTGGTGCAGGGTCAGCAGCTCAACCCCTACCTGAGGCTCAAAGTGCGCAGAGACCACATCATTGATGATGCTTTGGTCAGGGTATGTGTGTGCCAATTCAATACATACAATTTGATTATACAATTCTGGTCTTGGACACATTGCATTGATCTATTTTAATTTAATATGCTTTAATGACATAAATGTGTATTGCCAAAGCATAAATGAAATAAAAATACAATTAATAAAAATTATTTCCTTTCTCTTGTATCTCTATAGCTGGAGATGATAGCAATGGAGAATCCTGCAGACTTGAAGAAGCAGCTGTATGTGGAGTTTGAAGGAGAGCAAGGTGTTGATGAAGGAGGCGTTTCCAAAGAGTTCTTTCAGCTGGTGGTGGAGGAAATCTTCAACCCAGATATTGGTAAGAACTGTATGTTAAGGGTAGTAGTTTGGTTAATTTGTTCCAGACAAAAGGAAAAAAATTATGCATTGTTGCATTTGAGTTCTCGTCCGGTTCCTGTTCACACTGTTACAAAAAAGTAAACGGTTATACAGCACTTTTATGCTTCTGATGTGTATATTTATTTTCTTTATGATTATTCAAGACAAACTATAGGTATGAATATACCCTTAGATGCTATATAGACCTGTTTTTAACAGTTGCCACAGATCTGGAAAGTACTTGAAAGTGCTTGGATTTAATAAAAACAAATCAAGACCTTGAAAGAGCAATAAAGAGGTTGTTGAAAGTCGTTTTAAGATTTTGCCTATCGGAATCTTTCTGTTTTAGCTTTGTAGACTGCCATCATCTAAAAATTCACCCATTATACAATTTCTGTACACGTGGAGCACTGGAACAAGCTTGATACACTCTGTTCTTGTCACTCTCCACATAGGTTTTTTGAATTCCACAATATTTGACATAAACAGGAAGTAATGCATATAGTTGGAAAGCCCGTTTTCGTTTGAGTAAGCACATCATATCCACTAGAGGCAGCTTATACATAGCTTGTGGGCTATGGTCATTCTGCAGGTTGAAGAAAACTGTGTGGGTTTTATGTTGGTAGATTTCCCTATCAGGTATGATAATGTTTTACTGACTGACTTAATTACTGAGAGGTGGGGCAGTAAGGACACACCTTTTCAAAAGATTCTGTGTGACATTGCAAGGCTACTTTAATCAAAGGAGGTCCTTATTAAAAAGTTAACAGGAAGCTGATTACACCTGAAATGTCCTGTACAATTATTCCATCGCACTGTAAAACTGCGTGTGAACAACTACAGTGTTTTTATATGTCAAAGTTGAACAGGAAGTAACACTCTCCAGGGCTCCAGAGTGCGACCAAAATTTTTAAAAGTGCGACTAATAATTTTTCTAGGTCGCACTGGTGCACCTGATGCTGCCCGGGTGAAAACATAACACGCAAGCTCATCACCTCTCTGTGTTCCCCTGTGACCGAACTCACACACTCATGGTAGGATCATATTGTGTTCTTAACCAATAAGAGACAGAGCTCAGGCGGGTCTTTGCCTCTGATTGGCTGTGGTCCTGTTCACCGCGCTAAGTTGTGTGTGTTTTAAAAATTGCCGAGCCCCGGTCCTTCGGCGACAGCATCAGACTCGGAACCAGAGGAGGAGACAACTGAGTCTGGGATAGAGCCCGGCTCCGTGACCCAAATTAAAAAGGTCAAAATATATTCCTTCAGACAGGACTGGCTGAAACAATTTCCCTGGCTGAGGTACAACAAAGGACGTAACGCAATGCACTGCTTGTACTGTCAGGAGTGCGGTCAGAATATGGCCAGAAATAGTGCATTCGTGAGCGTCAACGTTTCGTATCAAACTTTTATTTGGAAATGTTTTATTTTGCTTAGTGTTTTAGTTTGAAATGTTCAATTTCAGCTCAGTGAAACACTTTAAAAACTTTTATTTTTTTTTTTATATATAATTGTGCTTCAAATAAAGACAAGCATTTCTCTACACCTTATTCTTGTTTAAAAATCATTCACATTATATGAAAGTTATGGAGAGCGATAAAAAGGTGACCTTATGGCGTTAAAGGCGACGCAATGAAAAATTTGGGTGCACCAAAATTTTGTGCTGGTGCACCTAAAAAAAAAAGTTAGGTGCACCAGTGCAACCAATGCAAAAAGTTAGTCTGGAGCCCTGCTCTCAAAATGTAATGGGAATTTAAAATGTGCAGTTAGGATAACAGTGTTCGCCTTCAACATGTTTCTTTCATTTTCAGTTTGAGTGCTACATAATTGCGTGTGAACTAATGTTTGCAAGTAGTGCAGTGACAGTTTCAGCTAAAAAGAGTGGGCTAAAATGAAACAGAGGTCACCAGCAGCTAAAGTAACTAATATAGACCATTTAAATGGTGTAACTATAAGGCAGGTTACATTTACAGGTTACAGGAGATTTAACCCTCCTGGAATAATATTAGTGTGGTGTAGTGTGTTGTAGTGCAGTGTAGTATTACGTTATAAAATTAGGGCTGTCAGTGTTATTGTGTGCTAGTTAAGATGGCAAGGGTGGTGAGTTACATTAAATACAGGCTATATGACATTGTGACAGTGAAACAGAATGAAGAAGAGAAAGAATCACTTTATTAATCCCCAAAGTGGAAATAATTTTTTTCCCAACTCCATATGGCAGTTTATACAGATATGCTCAAACAGGACCCATAGACATGCAATTGATTGGAGAGATGTCAGAGTAATGGGGCTGCAAATAGTACAACAGATGAAACTCCTAAGCTAAATTATTCATCCCCAAAGTCAATATTTTGTATTTTCTTTAAATTTATGACTTGGATTTATGCTTAGCATCATTGTCTTGGAAAGTCCAATGATTACCAAGGTTAAAAGAATCCATTATGCCAATCATGCAAAGTATTAATTTACACTTTTTCTTTTCAGGCATGTTCACATATGACGAGCGCACCAAAATGTTTTGGTTCAACCCATCATCGTTTGAAAATGAGGGACAGTACACTCTGATCGGCATCGTTCTCGGTCTGGCCATCTATAACAACTGTATCCTGGATGTCCACTTTCCTATGGTGGTCTACAGGAAGCTGATGGGCAAGAAAGGAACTTTCAGGGACTTGGCTGATGCCAACCCGGTAAGAACTATACTGCGACAAAAATGCTGTGATTGTTTTTTAGCTGATAGTTATGGAACAAATGCAGTTTTGCAACCAGATTGTGCTGCTGAAAGTGCTGGAACGTTTTTGAACAGCCATGTTTGTGACTGTGATAATTTGACTGTGTTGTAAAGGTTCTGTACCAGAGCCTGAAGGAGCTGCTGGAGTATGAGGGCAGTGTGGAGGAGGACATGATGATTACTTTCCAAATTTCCCAGACAGACCTGTTCGGGAATCCTCTTATGTATGATTTAAGGGAAAATGGGGACAAGATTCCAGTCACAAATGAAAACAGAAAGGTGAGCCAACAGAAAACATTAAAACTAAACTGTGTTAAATCTTATTCTTGAGGTCTGCATTCAACTGAACTCTGGTGTGGTTTGTTTCTTGTGTGAAAGTAAAACAAACCAATCACAGGACTGTGTGACAGAATAGACAGGTGTGTAGTAATTTAAAAGCTATACTACTAAATCTATTCTCTATCAAGAAGGTAATCCTCTTAAGTGATCTTTTGGTAAGACATAGGTGGGTCTCAGTATATGAGTGTGGGTGCATCAGATATGGAAAAGGAAGTAATAAAGAGGTGTGCTGTGTATTTTAGCAGTAAAGTGACTACACAGTAGCTATCCTCTGCTACCATACAGCATATAGCTTTTGCTGAATTTCCATACACAGCTTTTCTCTCCAGATTCTAGCTGCTTGTCATTATTTCTGATAGATTACAACCAGTAACAATCTGGACTAATAATTCTCATAATCAATTATTTTTTGACAGACTTTATATTATTCCACAATGCCCAGTTTTATGGGTTTGGAGCAATTACCTGAAAATGAATCACGGACTTAATTAAGGTGCTCAGTATTTTTATCATTCAAATGATTGCTGTGAGATATGTAGACTATCCTCAGTCACAGGGATATATTTGCAGTATGGCATGTTGCTGTTAGATTTTTTTGATGCTGAGACATTTTTTATTCCATTCACCTACATTGTTTTGGGGTTGCAGCAGATGTCTCAGTGATGGAAGTACAAACTATGCCAAATAAGCTATCTTTACATATCACGAGGATAAGTTCCCTTGAAAGATTATTGTGTGCTGTTGATGTGTTTTTGTGCAGGAGTTTGTGGCCCAGTATGCAGAGTACATGCTGAACAAAAGTGTGGAGAAGCAGTTCAAAGCGTTCAGGAGAGGCTTCCACATGGTCACCAACGAGTCGCCGCTCAAATACCTGTTCAGACCAGAGGAGATCGAGCTCCTCATCTGTGGAAGCAGAGTAAGATTTGTTACCACACATATAAACATTGTCCTTGTGGGGCGGAAACCTAATCTCTCCACATTTTGTCATTTTCATAAATCTGTGGGTTTTTACAAATATTTACCCCATGAAAAGTATAAAAAACAACAATACTAACTTTGACAGGTTTTTTTTAATTTTCTGAAAGTAACAGTTTTGGTCATAAGAGGGTTTTGCCTGATGGCATCAATATGTGAGTAAGTAATTTGAATTAGAGTAAATGCTTAATTTCCATCCATGATTTGTCTTTGTCACACACTGCAGAACCTGGATTTCCTAGCACTTGAAGAAACAACAGAATATGATGGAGGTTACAACAGAGATTCTCGAATCATCAAGTAAGTGTGTGTATATGTGTTTGTAGGTACAGTATGTGTATACGAGTTATGAATTTCAAACCCAATGTGCAAAGACCTTACCAAAATGGTCAAGATACTGGTGTAAAGAATTTGCAGTTTACTAGTGCTGTTGAAGACTAACCTTTAACACATGTTGTTAAGTAAAAATGTATAACACATACAAACATAGTTTGATGAGAGGATTGGTGTTATTTCCACTGGATACTTTGTATTTTGTTAGCACTGTAAACATTCTGACTGTCAGAGATGTTCGTTTGCATCGTAGGGAGTTTTGGGAGACGTTGCACTCGTTTGGTGAGGAGCAGAAACGCCTCTTTCTGCAGTTCACCACTGGCACTGACAGAGCACCTGTGGGTGGGCTGGGCAAGCTGAAGATGATCATTGCCAAGAACGGCCCTGACACGGACAGGTGAACCACCTCCATACATAATGCTGTTCCTTGGCTCTGCTGTGATGTACTCATCTAGTGTTTATGCACAGTTTGTGTGACATGCTCCCTCGTTTTAAGAGACACCTAGTTTGTACAAACATTTTCATTTTGTTAACTGAAGATTTATTGAATGATTTAAAGGGACATTTCACCCCAGAATCAAATATACGTATTTTCCTCTTACTTGTAGTCCTATTTATCCAACAAGAATGTTTTTGTATGAGTTGCTGAGTCTTGGTGATATCGGCCGATGTCTCTTCTCTTCAATATAATGGAACCAGATGGCACACTTGTGGTGCTTTCAGAAATCATGACCCGATTACTCAAGATAATCCACAGAACTTGGTGTGAACGGTATCATGTTGGAACTATTTCTGGAAAGAGACATTGCTGTTGAGTTTTTCAACATGTATTTTTTGGCACTTTGAGTACCACAAGCCAAAGTGCCATCTGGCATCATTATATTGTAGAGAAGGCAGCCATCTCTATAGCCGATATTTCCAAAACTCAAAATTCCACCAAAACAATCTAGATGGATAAAAAGGTCTCCAGGTAAGAGGAAAAAATTGTTGTTGTTGTTGTTATTGTTGTTGTTGTATACAGCCGCAGCACGCTTGTTAAGCTAACAGCAAATTGTTACGGACAGGTTAAAACAGAAGCAGCCTGTATGTGCCACTAATCTTAAAATTCAGAAAATTCTTGTAAACTTTAATTCAATTTCAATTCAATTCAATTTATTTGTATAGCACCAATTCATAACAGAAGTTATCTCAGGACACTTTTCAAATAGAGCAGGTCTAGCCCGAACTCTTTATAACATTATTTACAGAGACCCAACAGTACCACCATGAGCAAACACTTGGCGACAAGGGCAAGGAAAAACTGCCTGTTGAGAGAGACAGAGAGAGAGAGACAGAGAGAGAGAGAGAGACAGACGCAATCTAGCGGGACCACGGCAGGAGGCTCCACCAGGATCGACAAGAACCTGCGATAATGGCTGAGATGTTCCCAGTGACATATTATTGAGTGAATATAAAAGACTGTTTAAATGAAAATGGACGTAGTCTCTGTGACGTCATCCTTAGGTTTCTGAAGAGCTGTTGTGAAGCTTTGGTGGGCTCTGGCCATTGCCATCTTGGCAGTTCGAACTCTTTCAGCTCCTGGCTAATCCAAAAATAGGGAAAGAGGTAAAGCTGACGTGGGCCAAATGAAGCCTGTTTACTAAAAACAGCCGCCAGTTGCTGGCACTCACCTGTCACTCAAAGCAGCCACGTTTTTAATTATGCATAACTTTAAGCCGTAATATAATTTAAACAAGCAAGTTATGTAAAAATTAACTCCCTGTACAGTTGTCATGAATGGGGAAATTAGCTATAGAGACCAAAACAGTTTTTTCTACCAGGCTGTTAACGTGTTTATTTCTGCTTTAAAGTTGGGCATTTTAATACAGGGCCTCATGGGGGTTGACTCCCTTCTGGAGCCAGCCTCAAGTGGCCGTTCAAGGTTTCAACAGTTTTTTTTTTTTTTTTTTATACTTCCATGTTGGCTTCATTTGAGAGGTTGCCACTTGAGATTATGCTGTTGTAAATGTTGCTGCTCCAGAAACAATATATTGAAATTATTATACTATTCTGAATTTATTTCCTATTATTTATATCCCCGCAATTTACCGTTATGGGCAAATAAAGAAAATCTTTGTCTAAAAACATTCCTTTTTAAGGTTTGTATTTTGCATGCCCTTTATTTGTCCTTTGCCAGTCATATTTCTGTTCAAGTGATGAGCTGCACTACTCATTGTTATTTTCAGTGATGGTAACAATTTTGTGGCCTCTGCTACAAAACGTTCACTTGGTAGTTCACGTTATTTAATGTACAGCCCTGTGATTGCACAAGTCTTTGTCCATACATGTTTTTTAAAGGCTTTCTGTTTGATGCTGATACGTGCATCAGTCAGGATGAAACTGACCAGCCGTGTGTTGTTTTGTCTTGTCAGGTTACCAACGTCCCACACTTGCTTTAATGTGCTGCTGCTGCCTGAGTACAGCAGCAAGGAGAAGCTGAGGGAGAGACTGCTGAAAGCCATCACCTATGCCAAAGGGTTTGGCATGCTCTGAGCCCCTGCTCCAAACACATAGCAAACGGACTCCTTCTCAGAAAGCCCATCAAACCCTGCCCTGCCCTTCCTTTATCAGACACAATCTAAAAGCTGACAAAAGACAGACCAGAGTATGTTTCGAGGAAAGCAAGTCAATGGTTCCAATAGAGCGCTCTAGTAGTTCTACTGTGCCTGCATCATCCCACATCAGTCAGTGTAAGCACAGAGACCTCCTGATCAAAGTATCCACCCCACATCCACATTATGTGAATGTGCCGCAGCCTCCCCATCTTTTTTTCTATGTACAGAGGATCATTTTCCTTATTATTTATTTTAAGGTTAAAATGGGTTATTTTTCATGCCTGCCTGTTGTGATAGCTTCCCTTCTTGGGGAAAGGGGGAGGGTTAATATTAAACCATGTACATTTGGGACAACATATTAACAGCCAATATAAACCCCATTTATTGAACAAAAACATGTTACCCCTGAAAACTTGTTCACAAACTGTTGACAGAGGAAATCTAGCATTAGAGTAGTCTTTACTACAAAATATTGTATTCTCCACAGAAGAAAGACCTCTTGCTGACCATTCCACTCACAGCCATCGGTTATTGTTTCTGTCAAGTCCATTTTTGATCAAGGTAAGCATTTGGAAAGTTACTGTCATTTGGTCCAAAATGGCACATTATCAAATAGCTGTTTTTCTCTTTTGATTTTGGGCCTTTTCTCCTTATGGTGGGGGGAATGGGGGGACGACACACCACAGGTTAGACTAAAATCTTGTCAGAGCTGTGTAAGTGCACTTAGACATTTTCAGAATGTTTGTTTTTTGGCCACAGGTTGCCATGATTGTTTGAAGCATTTTATTTCCATGTCTTCCTGTGTTGACGATTCTAAATAAAAACAGTATTTATATATCAGTGCGGTTGAAACTACAATACCGTATTGTTCACATTTTTGGAGGATGTACACCTGTAGACCAGTCACTGATGAAGTTTCTCAGATACAGACACAGAGCTCTTCTTGTGCCAACCTATACAGTCAGTTGAAACCCCAGTAAGCACTTTGTGTTGTCTTTTTCTGGCTTAGTCTTGTATGAATAGACAGCTCACACTGCAGGGTCTCTGTTGAATATAGCTCCAGTTTATGTGGAACCTCCACATGTAGTCAAGAAGGCAGTGTGTTCAGACATTTTCATTGTCACTGTAGATCATTGTCACTGAAGTCTCTGATTGTGGTTATGCCTGTCATTTTAATACAAAATGTATCCTCTGACAACACAGGTCTAAGTGTTTGAATTGACAGTGCCATGCCAGATCTCTGAATGTGAGCCATCTGGCACTGTGATCACACACAGGGCAAGTGAGGAAAGCAGTCTTAAACACAATCTAAACAAACAACTATAACTTTTTTATATCAAAGCTTCAATCCTGAAGCCACATAGTCTCCAAAGAAGTCCCATATCTGTTCCTGTCAGTCCCTCCTTTGCTGTTAGACCCAGAATGGAAAATAATATCAGCATATAGGCAAATCTGTGGGTTTGATCTGATTTAAAGCAGGGATACTCAACTTGCTTGTCCCGGGGGCCAGTTAATAAACAAATACGTTTATTTATGTGGTAATCTTCGCTTTTCTTGCAGTGTTACCAGTAGGGATTGAAAGTGATAAGATTTGATTGCTTATCTGTCTGGTTTGTCAATTCCCTTATTCATTCCTGATCAAATTTGTGTTAAAGAAAGTAGGCCTTTACAAGTTTTTAGCATCAACGCAACTGTTTTATTATCTCTGAGACTGAACCCAGTGTAGAAACAAGAGTAGAGTTATAGTAGTTTGAGTTTCTTAATAAATGAAGCCACACTTTGGACTGCTTCTTCCTCTTTGCCTTGACGACCAGCAGTGTAGACACGAGTTTGACGTCATTGTTTTGCAATGCGCAACTGTCAGAAAAATATGCAGGCATTGATAAAGGGAATTTATAAGCTCAGTGGCATACGATTCCAATGGATTGGACAATTAGGAACAGGTTCTCAACAGAAACTGCTTCTCGATTCTCGTCCCTAGCTACCAGATGGCAACTGCACTGAAGCTAGCATGTTTTGACTCATGATGGCGCCTGATATTAGCAACCTTGCATACAGCAATTGTGATTTGGCAAATTAATTTAATTGCCTGTTTCCATTGTCAACCTTTCAATGTTTTTTCAAGTCCAGTCGCAGCAGTCCCATGCAGGTCAGAAATCAAGTGTCACTGCTTCTGCAAGCTGCACAGATTGCTGAAACGCTGATTTGCAACTTCCTAGGCAACAGCCAATGGACATTATTGAGCATTTACGAATTGATACAGGCAAAACAATCCCTGTGTAAATCAGTTTATTTTCATTGTGAATTAGAAAATGGTCTGCAGGCCAGAAGGCACCCTATCATGGTTCTAAAGTTGAGTATCTCTGATTTAAAGGAATATAAGATTTTGAGAGAGGTTGAATTTAAATGTCACCTAGACTGCATCCAAAGATTGGAAGCAGGCAGAAACAATTAACCTAGCTCTGGAGAACAAAAATAATCCACTTTTAAAAAAACTCCATATTGTATATTTTGAGTTTAAAGTATGTAGAAAGATGTGGACACATCACTGTGATCAGATTTATATTTGGATCTGTCACATTCAATGAGATGGAAGCAGGTGTAACCACTGTCTATGGAAAGGTCTAATGAAAAGTGTGGACTTTTTCTTTTCGACATTAATTGGAATATCAACTGTGAATCATCTCCCTACAGAAGAGGCAGATTTTCTGTATTTTTTGATGATTTTTTCAGTTTTTGTTCAGTTGAATAGGGTGTACTTGTAAAGAACTGGCATGATGATCTTGCACACGGACTCAATTCACTGGTTTAAATGTTTGTTTGTTTTAAACAACCTGGGTCTTGTTTTGTAGTTGTGGCCATGATTCTTTTCATTTTAGAACTCAACAATTTTATACTCTGCCACTGTCAATATGAGTGCATTAAGGAGAGCAGCACAAGTCATCATACACCCTCACAGGTTTTAAAGCATTTACAGTTTAACCAAATTATTACATTTGTTTAATTTGTTAAAGTTTTTGCTGTTGACTAAGAATCATAAATACACGTTAGAGCCAACCCTTTTGCAAACAATATGCTTTGCTAGAAATTTGAATTATTTCTACCATTCCAATTGGCTTCCATTCATGTCAGGACAATATGAAAATCAATGGCAGACTCTTGAAATGTATCATTCTGAGATTGCAAATTGCAGTGTGGACTGCTGAGTTTTACCTTTACTACCAGACAAAAACAACACTGACAAAAATCCACACATCCTTGTGATGGATTGTGCAACTGAAGCATATTTCAAGAATCTGCTGATTTTCCATACTAGATAGGAAGGAATGGAAGCTAGAGCTGCATCTAACGATTATTTTCATTATTGATTTATTTAGCTATCATTTTCTCGATTAGTAGATTAGTTGGTTGGTCCAATATGTCAGAAAATGGTAAAACATGTTTCCTAAATCCCAAGATGAAGTCCTCGAATATTCAGTTTACCTTAAAAGAAGACTAAAGAAATTCATATTTTGCTGAAATCAGAGAATTTTGACTTTTTTGTTTGTTAAAAACGACTCATTGATTTAGTGATTATCACAATAGTTGCTGATTAATAGTTGACAACTAATCCATTTATTGACTGATAGTTGCAGCTCTAATGGAAGCCAATGCCTGCTGTTAACAGTGTGAAAAATACACTAAAATTCAAAAACTATTGCATAAATTTGAACAAGGTCATCAAAAATGTAAACAGTACAACAAAGACACTGCTCCTTTAACATTTACTTTTTTGTTTTACCTCCAGATTAGTGATCGGGTAAACTGGACAGGTTTGACCACTGATAAGTAAACCATGCAGACTGCTGTGAAACAGTTTCCTCTTATCTTCAACATTGGCATTAAATGATACGCTATACCATTTATTTCAAGGTCTGATTACTAGCTTTTTGAAACTTTTAACCACATATCATAGTCTTAATCAGTAAATGGAGCAGGCTCAGGTGTCATCATTTATTTTCTTTGTCAATCTGTTACTTTTCTTCTATTAATCGATTAGTTGTTAGGTCCATAATGGTGAATGATCACTGATAAGTATTTTCCAAAGCCCAGTTGATTTCCTCAAATGTCTTGTTTTGTACACAACCTAGACCTATTCAATTTATTATCACAGAGGACTAAAACAAACAAATTAAACAATTATAATTGATGAATGGACTACCTGTTGCAACTGGGCGTAGATAGTGACTCCTGTCTCTGTTCAAATGTTCAAATGGTCTTTGCCGTTGAATATGAATGTCCTCCTTGATCTTCATCCAGGTTTTGCGGTTTAATGTCGAGGATCAGAAACGGACAACGTTAAGTGTCTGAGAACACAAGACCAAAACCACTCACAGCAACCACTGGGAATAGGTCAAAGGTCATGGACTAGGATTCAGTGGACAAGCGCAGAAAGATCAAGGAGGACATTCACATCTGACACCAGAGACCATCTTCGAACAAAGATAGGGGTTATTACCATCTTGCCCCATATTTTTTTCTTTGGTCACCATGTAATAACACCAGAACCAGTTTCATTCACTGATGATGGAACAAAAATAAGAAAAGATGTGTTTAAAGGTTCCTGAAAACTATTAAGTTGACCTTGAGATAATAATCATCTGGGGAATTTCTTTTGTTATTAATATTAAACCATTACAGACTTTTTTTGGTGAGTAGTGATACAGCAACGAAGCTTTATCTGCATTAATACATTTAAAGCTGCATGGTAGCAGATGGATGTTCTATGTATCGTCATGGGCACTTCAGTGGTGGTGGTGGTGGTTGTTGTAGGAGGTTGAATCTGTCTCTTCTCCCTCAGACACTGGTGTGTCTAACTTTAAGGTTCTTGTTGTTCTTGTGATGTGTCTGCAAGAGGACTATCTGATTATTTTTTTTGCTCAGCCTGTGAGCATGATGGTACCCACAAAATGCCACTAAAGCGCGGTGCTCAGACCACAGCAGTACACAACAACTCTGAGCCATTCTTTCCCTTCCATTAGTCTTACTTTGTCATTTTATTGGTTTCATCCAGACCTGGGCAAAATGATTTACTAGTATACCTTTGACTCCTTGGTTTAGCCTTAATTGGAGTCACTTTGGACTGTACAAAGAGTGCCTAAAAAATGTAAACTAACACTGGACCGTGTTTGACAGTCACTATAGCATACAGTATATATCATTGTTATACTGCAGTAAACCTCCATCACGTGGAACTCTGTAGGTTAAAGCAAAGGTTATGGATGGATGAATTACAACTGTTATTGAGCCCAGGTCTGGTTTCAGCTGTTTAACATTACTCTGTACCTCTGTTTTGTAATGCTGAAGATGCTGCTCACCTGGACATGTGAAAGTGCATTAGAGCCTAGTGAAGGTAAAAGGTGAAAAGTCAACCTGATCTTGGAAAGGGAAGCAGTTTTCAATTGGTTTGTCTCCACAGTTACATTCTAAAAGATACAAACTGATGAAAGGCTAAAAGTATTCAGTGTTGTGAAAACATGCTAAATAAAGATGACTGCTTTTTTCCAACTTGTATTGACTTATAATCCTGATTTGAGTCCACAGGTCCTTTGGTGTTAATGAATCTCACCCACATTTTTCTAACTGATCCAAGTCAATGTAGCTTTGATACACAATCTCACATTACTTCTGTCATTAAATTATTTCTGCTCAACTCAAATATGCACATCTGGAACTTTAAACCGTATGACATGCTAAAAAGCAAACCCCTTTGGACTACTTTCAGTTGTTAATGGCTTACAGCAGTGGGTCCCAACCTTTTCTATTATTTTATGGATTTTTCATATTCTATTCCATACATAACAATAATAGAGAAAAACTGATAAATTGTACATTGAATCAAAATAGTGAATGCAATTTCTGCACAAAGTTTGTGTAAATCAAGCAATTTCAATGAATTTTGAGCAGGTTATTTCTCGTGAGTATTTCATCAAAGTTTAGCATTCCTGATGTTTTTAGGTACTTTTTATACAATTCTTTGTATTGTGTAACTTTAATTCTTAACAGTTATACATCCTTAATTCATATACAAATTCAGTGTTTTCTTCTGATAGTTCTATTAGATCTTTTGATTGTTTTAACTTCATACTTTTCTAATGAAGGACAAGGTTTAGCTGAGAGTAAAGGCTCAGTGTATATAGCTTGTCTTCAAAATGTATATCTTAAATAATCTAATCTAAACTTTGAACAATTGAATTTAGTTTTCTTCACAGAAATGAATAAAATACTGAGATATAGACCAACTGTGTATTTTTATTTATGTTTTTTTAAAACACCTTAAAATCCAGTGCAACTTCCTGTGAAGCTTTGGTGACCCCCTAGTGGGGTTTGGGGCCTTAGATTGGGAACGAGTGGCTTAAAGAGTCTGTTGACCATGGTCATTGACATGTTAGCATACTAATATTTAGGAATTCGCACTAAACACAAAGCGCAGCTGAGGCTCGAATGTCATTAGTTTGCAGGTATTTTGGTCAGAAACAAAAATGCTTTTATAATCGATCACAAAAATCCATTGGTAGGGCTAAGCATCATTCAAATGACTACAAGTCAAGTTTGAGTCATTACAAGTGCAAATATGAGACCAATTTTAGACCAAAATGATACCTTTTTCTTTTGTTACTCAGTACAAACAATTTCTAATGTAACAAAATAAGACAAATTTCTCTTTTGTTTCGACAACTACAATCAGTACAAAATAAAGTAAATGTTAGTGAAAATCAAAGAACACGTACACGTTCACACTGTCGAGTGTGGCAAAATGCTGTTTTGGACACTTCTTACCCTCGGTGGACGGCATTTTTGCTACATAGGTGAAAGGGCAACATACTGGTACATCTTCATCAGTAGGAGGATTACACTGACTGTGTAATTTCCACCTTGCATGAAACGGGGCACACAGGCTATACAAAGTAGAAGCAGGTTAATTTTTTATTAATATTATGGGGAAATACAGTGAAAAATAAGCCTGTATTGGTGCTAATGATCCGTCTGGTTGCAATTCGCCATAGAAGGTGACGCGGTTAAATGTTGTGATCATCATTTCTGGTAAGTTCACAACGGCGAGCTTAAGTAGTTATGTAGTGTGCATAGTGTACTACATAGAAGTGTGCTTACAGAAGTGTTCAAATTAAGACACAGCATGGGTCTGACCAAGCATTCTGTATTCTATAGTTTTCCAATACTCAGGTACTCAGAGTCTTCAAGTACCAAACTCTAAGCATATCTGTGATTATGGCAATGGCCAACTTTCAAGGCAAGCATACTATTTCACCTGATATGGGAATAATGAATGGAGACAGCCACTGTCCAGCTGCTGTTTATATGACCAAAGAGTGCTATAGTACCTTGGGATGACCTCACAAAGAATGTCCTGAAATGGAGGAGTGCCTAAGCCTGACAGTAGTAGTGCCAAGCTCTACTCATCGTCTACTCTGAGGGTTCTGACTTCGTTCGACATATTACTGAGCCGTTGTTTTAGTTTACGCTGGGAGGATTCATACTGGTCTGATAGCTTTCGAAATTTGGCCATCATGACTTCCAAACTGGCTTCAATCTTGTTGACTTTGTCCTCCAAGTCTTTGGCATCAGTAGCAGAAACCAGTGACTCATCTATGAGATTATCTTTCATGAGAATGGCCCTTCCCTTCTCCTCCAACATATATTTCGCATCAGGATACTCAGTGAGTGCCTCCATTAGGTCGTCTTTGGACAGGGCAAACAGATCAGAGTAGCCCACACTTCGGATGTTGGCTGTTCTTCGGTTTCCTGCCTTGCTGCCCTTGATACCAAGGATGCTGATTTCTCCAAAGTATGCCCCATCACTAAGGACCACAAACTGGGTAACACCATCATCTGCTACTACTGCAAGCTTTCCTGCTTTAATGATATACATTTCCCTGCCAATGTCACCCTTCTTACAGATGTAGTCACCAGGACTGAAAACTTGAGGCTGAAGCTTAAGGACCAACTCAATTAGCAAACCTGCCTCACAGTCTTGAAAGATGCGCACTTTTCTTAGCGTCTCCAAATGTACGTTGATAGCTATCTCAGCCTTTAGCTTGTCTGGCAGGTTCTTTAGCACCTGCTTCTCATCACAGGTCTTCTCCTCTGTCCACAGGTAGTCAAACCATTTCACCACCCTTGTCTCCAGGTCTTTGGTGACCTTCCGAAATTGCATGTATTGCTTAATAGAGTCAATCTTTGCCTGGAACTCTACACGTGCAGCACTCATGTTGGAAATCATGGCACCAACATTGCCTACAATCGTAGCAAAGATCAGTACCCCAGTGAGAAAGTCAGCTACCACAAAAAAGTATTCAATATCTCGGACTGGGGGTGGTGTCTCGCCAATTGTGGTCAGGGTAAGAGTGGACCAGTAAAAGCAGTAGATGTACTGCCTGGCCAAGCGAGCAAACTCAGGATCCTTCATACCTGGATATACCCAGGTGTCTGAGCCAATGCCGAGCGTCTTGGAGATGGCAAAGTAGAGGCAAGCATTCCAGTGGATAATGATGATGATATAAAGAACAAGATTAGCAATTCGGAAGATGTTGGGAAAATTGGTTCGAGTTTCTGTCCGGTCAAAGAACTCGAAGAGTCGGGCTAACCTAAAGAGACGGTTGAACCTCCACTCTGGGTTGTTGACTCCAAATTTGAGGAATACAATATCAGTGGGAATTATTGATATGACGTCTAATCTGAACTGCCGTGTCTTCATGTACTTTTCTTTCAGGATCTTTTCATCCCTAACAAGCAGTCCTTGTTCCAGAAAACCTGTTGACACATTAGAATATAATTAGCATATTCATATACTCAGAGTTTCTTGTAATCACACAAAGTTCCAGTCACTGACCCGTCCTGGCTCTCACAAAGGTGTCAACGCAGTAGACGACATCTGAAGTGTAGTCCAAAACCAGCCACAGGGTTAAATTTTTATATTGCAGTTCATTGAAACAAGACCTACAGGGAAGGAAGAAATATGTCAAAGACCTCTGAAACAACAATAAGGTGAAGAGGAAATACAAAATGCAATAAATTCTGACCTGGCCACCAGTAACATGAGGTTGTAGAACACCGGTATGGATATTGTGCACAGCCAGTAATAATACGTATCTGTTGCAGGGTCCATGATCCACACCTCTTTTCTGAATGAAAAAAAGTGTTTTTTTGTTGAAAAGCATGTTTATACAAGAAATATAAGAAAGTAAGGTGTACTGACAGTGGTTGTTGGTGTCAGTACTGAGATTCAAGTGTTATATTGAAGAATTTTTCCAGTCCAGTCCTTGTACTGGAAACTACTGTCTATATGTGATATATGATATATGACTTTCTTGCAAAGACTTTCTTCTAGAGGGATTTCTCTTTCCAAATGAAAATGTGATTTTTTATTTGGCAAATTTTGATCTTTGTTTTTACTTTTTTTGCACTAGGTACGTCAATTTTTAATATGGTATATTTTAAAATGATAAATCAAGTACACCTCAGACAGCTGAACAAGCTTTTGATGCAAGAATACTTCCTCTACAATCACTTTTTACAGTTAGTGCTGCTACTGCCATTGTTACCACTGCTTAACATACTAACGTCATGTTTGAAATAAAAATAATATGTTAAAAACCTTTTGAGAAATTACAGCTGTTTCTAAAACTATCATTATTATTTGAGTTATCACTAATCTTCAGAAATGTATCCCTGAGTATTTTTGGTAGGTGGAATCATTGCGATATTGGTTTATGAACTTTAGATAACAACACTCAAATATAGATTTTTCAAAATTTCAAAATGTATTAAAATAAATTATTTCAACCTTTCTATCTCTGTATCTCTGTATAAAATGATCAACTTCTAGAATATTTCCATTTAGTGGAAAATTGCAGTCATAGAAAATATGTGTGGTACTTACGGTTCCTCCTTTTTATCATCCTTTTTGTCATCTTTCTTCTCATCCTTTTTAGGGTCCTTTTTGTCATCTTTCTTGTCGTCTTTCTTGTCATCTTTTTTATCATCCTTCTTGTCATCTTTTTTTCTGTAAATACCCATTAACAGAGGCAGGTGAGGTAAATATGTTTCATCTGGTTGTCATGCAGTTGTATCAAAGAGTCTGATGGGGGCGCTGTGACACAGTAAAGTCATGTTACTGTATTTTGCAGGTGTTAATATAAGTACTACATCATCACTGACTGTAACTAACATTACCTGTGTGATCAGTAGGAGCATGAAGAAACAGATTGTAGTATAGTCACATCACCTGGAAAGAGGCTTTACTGTAGCCAGTAAAGGCTCATAGTTTATGCATATTATTTAAAGTTTCTAATTTTTATTTATTTATTTATTGCCTTTAATGTAGAGTGACAGGAAAGTGGGCTTACATAATCATGAAAATAATTATTAGTTGCAGCCCTATTGTTGATATGCTGTATGTTGTCTGGTCATGAACCCTTACAGTTTCGGTGAGCCTGTGACCATTACTTTGTTTCCACCATGAAATCAAAATATCCCTTTGACCACCTCTTTTGGTCCATAAAATATCTTAAAATCTCATCATCATTTCTTACCCATCATTGTTGTTGCAGTTGTTCATGTTTTGTGCAGCCAGGGGCCACTGTGCATGACTGGAAAGGAATAAAGAAATACATAAATACATTTGTGACCAAGACAACTGAATATCAGAATATGTGTGTCAGTGTCTATAACTTTCCAAAACTGCGGCTGAGACTTAAAGTGTTTCTACTCTCATATTTGTCCTAAATGTTACACATTGCCTTTGGTGAATTGCCAATTTCTACTCATGGTTCCAACTACTCCTTTCCATTAAAAGAGGGGCTTCTCTCATACTTTTATATTTCCATAACTTACATGAGATCATATCAACACCAAAATTAAAGTGTATCAATTCAGTGGCACAGTGTACCAAACGATCACTGGGATTGTCATTTTTACTTCATGCACCTGCAACCTTCTGGCACGGAGAACATAGAACTTAAAGCAGCCATAAGTGAAATTGGCATTTTGGCCAACTTCCTGTCTGCTCTTGCAGTTAGCAGTCTCCTCCCTCTTCCCCACGTCACCACACTGAAAGTCTGCTGCCTGCCTTTGAGGACTGCCTCTCTGTGGCATTCTTTCTCCTGATTGGATAAAGTGGAAACAGGATACCAGAAAATGTATTCTCTGTTTACTGTAAAAGGGAGGAACTGGGGGACCCATGATACTGACTGAACACTCCATATCAGCGAAGGCTGTCAGAATGTAAAGCTATTTCACTGTTATTTTACCCCAAAAAATATCACTTATAACTCCTTAAATCTTGACATATTGGCTCGGTGGCTTTGGTGTCCCTTATTTTAAGTGGCTTTGGAGGTGTTTGCCACATAAATAAATGTAAATGTTAATATATATAAATTTCAGTGTCCTACGTATAATAATGTTATTTTTTCTCTAAATCTTATTGGTTGCCACAACAAAATATATAGTCAGAGCCATTGACAGTATGTAATTAGTGGACAGAGCTTCCGGGTCTATGAAGTGAAACCAATGCAAAATTGTCTATACCTTCTTTCTTTCTTTTTTTTCTTTCTTTCTTTCTTTCTTTCTTTCTTTCTTTCTTTCTTTCAATCTTACCCTAATTTCCCCCAAAAGATCTGAGTGTTTATTTAACCTACAGTCACTCATTTTATTATCACCACCAGCAGTATTGTCCTCCAGGAGCTGGGATGTAGTTTTAGCTCACCTGCTCCTGTTGCTCCTTGTGTTCTCCTCTGTGCTCTGGCTGCTGGACTCTGCAGGGCAAACACTGCTCTTTCCAAAGTGCATCATGTTTGACAGCCTTGCAAAAGAGATCAAAATGGCCATATTAATTTATCAGCAAATACACATGCTGGTTTAGGAAAAGATGGACATAATAATACTAGTAAATCATGTGCCAGGGATTTGTTTAAATAAAAGGACATTTGAGTCTGGACCAATCACTTTGCACTGTACATGAATGGAGACTTTCTCTGATAACATCTTGGTATCTTTGAATTGAAGTGTAAGTCATTAGTGAGAGTCACCTGGACAGCAGTCCTGTCCCCACAAAAGACGTCTGATGCTGGCTGTCCATCAGCCTGGAGACAAGGAGTAGGACAGAATGAGCTCACAGTCACAAAAAATAGGTGTTAAGCATTGGCCTAGGTCTCCTCTGTCTACTACAATGCTTAAGCATTTTTCAGTTTTTTTTTTTTAGGGATTTGCTCCTTTCCTAAGAGGCAAAAGTGTTTTGAAAATTATAGATTTCAATTGAAAACGTGGCTGTTTAAAAAAAAAAAAAATCGGAAAAATGCTAAAGCATTGTAGTACACAGAGGAGACCTAGTCCATGGTAAGCAGACAGAGTTGTCATGCTGTCAGTAGCATCCAACACTGCTTGCTCTGGATTAGATTAAATAAACGTAGAGGCAGGGATCCATGGAGCTCTTTCTAAATGCTGCATAGTGTTTGTATTTGTTTTTTGGGGGTTCTGGCTCTAAAGTTGGGACAATGCTTATTAAGGTGAATAAATCCTTAACTGTACAAATATTAACAGTTAAAATACCAGTGTGTAGAAATGGCAACTAGTGGTGTAGTTGCCGATTTCAACCCCTTGCTGCACCCTCCCCTTCCAAGTGAAGTAGAAACTACGGCCACAAAATGCACAAAAAACACTATGGCCCTGTCTAGAGCCAGTGTTTGGTTTGTCCATTCTAGGCTACTGTAGAAACATGGCGGAGACTATGGAAGACAATCCATGGTGTCTGTAGATAAAAGGGCTCATTCTAAGGTAACGAAAACATAACAATTCTTATTTTCAGGTGATTATACACTAATGAAAACATAGTTACACATATTCTAAAGCGGGGGCAGTGCTTATTAAGGTTAATAAATCGTTAATGTGTTTGTAATAAACCAGCCATAAACTCATAATGCCTTTAATTACTGTCCATAAGAAGTCTATAAACAATTTCTAATACTGTGGAAACCACTGCTCTAAGTTAAAGAGAGATTATTTCAGTAGTTAAGAAGCACATTTAAGTTTAACTACTACGCCTTCTGACTGAGACAAGTTGGCTGAGATGGTTTACATTAGTGGGGATTTCTAACAATCATATTTTATATGAACAACCAGGCCTCAGTCATTACGTGTCCAGAATGTATGTCCATTCCCCAGATTGGGCCAACAAATTCAAAGTGTTAGTCAGCTGGTTGCACTATCACAGGCAGGGCTACAGCCAAGATTTAAGAGTCCAAGTCCCTTAAACTACTGTCCTAAAAATACATTTTCAAATTGTTATTTATTTATGTTTTTTTAGGCTCAAAAGAAGAAATGTGCTGAGGTAAAATCCATTGTCGAATGTAAACTAATTACAGTGAGTAGTATTTAATGTTGTCATCCTAACCCAACACCCACTCAATTGTATTAAAATGCATCTTACTCCTTATTTCAGTGTCTATATCTTCACTTTATTAGTGATAACCTGGTGGACATACATTCACACAATGTATGTGTGTTCTTTTAGCTCGTGTATATACATAAGCTAAAAGAACAGAAGAAATAGATGCTATAGGCAGAAGCGGTAAAGATTAGAGATGCTGGCTTCTTGGGATACACATTTATTTATTTAGAGAACTGAGCTTGTAACCAGAGGTTTAGTGGTTCCATTCCCAGACCCTGAACAGAGAACTAAACTGATAATTAGTCCAGTTGACTGGACAAACTGGTTTTGATTTTCAAATCCTTTTTGCTTAAATGCTTTTATGTTTTTCAGTTTGATATTCTGGTCTTGAAGAAACACATTTTTGTTTACATTTCAATGTACTGACTTGGCCAAGTCTAAATGAGATGGAATCTTAATCTCTGTAATCACATACAGACTTCACTTAGGCCTACATTTGTATCAGGTAGTTTCAATATAAATTCTGTTGATTTTCTATACAGCCAGTACAACAGTTTCTGTTTGTTTTTGGTCCCATTAGCTCAGCACATTTCTTCTTTAGCACTGTTAACTCAAATCCTTCTCTCCCAGATTACATCGGCTAAAATTAGATTTTCAACCTGGTGTGACTTGTTAAGCTCAGGACTTTAGAGTAGTTGTTTTCTGCAATCACACGGTAACATTAACATTAACAATCACTATATACTGTGTAAACTTATTTACCTGACTGATTGACAATGACAGTGAAGAAAACTCAGGATGAGCTCTGAATAAATCCCATATTGCTCCTTGTTTTTTCTTCCTCCTTCACATCAAAGATTAGACTGACAGAAGAGCTGAAGACTCATGTTAATATATATAGATCCGGTAGTTAATATCAGTCTAACACAAGTGTCAAGAGCAAACAACACCCATGCTTTTCTATAGACAAGATTTTCCCTTGCAGTGGAGGAGTTCTCTCTGTTTATCCACTCTGCACCACCTCCCAACACAGGATAAGGGAGGGGGAGGATGAAGAGGAGGAGGAAAGAATAATTGTCTATGCCTTACCTTACCTTACTGGAAGGAAGAGCAGCTCAGTTTTGTCGAGGTTAAGCTTCAGGTGCCGTATACACATCCACTGACAGATATCCAGAACTAGTGTTGCCTGCATAACTGTGGTAAGAAAAACCTGAAAGTTAATAACAGGGCCAAGTGACATGGTGTAAAGAGAATGGGACCCAAAACAGAACTCTGAGGAATCCCAATAGTGAGGCTTCAATATTTAGACACAGATAATCTTAAAGTCTTTAAAGTTGAATGTTAACAGGGAGAGTGCAGAGACTCCCAATTATTGAAGGGTGGAGAGGAGGATCTGGTGGTTCACCATGTGAAAACGCTACTGAAAGGTCCAGCAGGATAATAACAGAGGAAAATTTTAATAAAATCTACTTTAAGCCAGTTTGTTTCAGATAAACAAATAATTTCTATGATATGATTATCTTAAATTAAGAATAATCTTATGTCATGTTCCTTTATTGATAAATATAATAATATATTTTTTGTTATAAGTATCACTGGGTAGATAAACAAGACTGATTGGGGTCTGAGCCACCTTTATATTTATATCCCTTCCAGCCTGAACAAATCCTCTTTGTGTGTGGAAAGCTAAAGTGAGACATCAGACTCCACCTCCATCTCTCAGATAGGAGCAGGACAATCCCCCAGCAGCCTCAACTAATCTCAGCTCTGCTTCCACTGCTTCCCTGAGCCCCCTGGACTCTGAGCTCAGTGTGTGACAGCTGGGAGCTCAGAGAACCCTCACTGCAGTGAGAGTGACAGCAGAGATCAGTTAGAGGTGCAAACTTGCCACAGGCAAACAATACATCACAGTCTATCCTATAGTCTTCTTCTCATTTTGTCTAATATGAGCCAAAGAATATAAAAATATCTTGTAGTGTGTCAAATTCACGCTAATGTGACCTCATTTAGGATCTAGTGGCGGGGGTGAGGGTAGAACATCTTCCTGCATCTCTGGCTTGGTGTATCCAATACTTCTTCCCCAACCACAGCAGGTAGAAAAGGCTGTTATACTGTAGTTGGATCCCGATGTCACATACATCAGCGACATAAGAAGCAGCCTCAATGGAAGAGTCAGATCATAAGAAAATCACTCTGAAATTAGGGGGCTCACAGAATACGACTAAGTTACGAGGATACTGGAAATTTTTGAGATCTAGAGCCAAGTGGCTGGAAGAGGGGGAAACAAACTCCAGCTATTTGGAAGAGGGGGAAACAAACTCCAGCTAGAGCCAAGTGGCTGGAAGAGGGGGAAACAAACTCCAGCTATTTTTTTGCTTTGGAGAAAATAAACGGTCAAAGAAAGTCACTAAGTATGCTTAATATTAATGGTAGTAAATGTACGGATCAAAAATTAATATCTGATTCTGTTTTTTCCTTTTATAGCAACTTGTACAAATCAGAATTCAACAACCCTTCTTGTGTAATGTTTATTGGTAAGATTAAAAAACACAAAGTCACAATTGATGAGGACTCTAACCTGACCAGAGAGGAAATCAAAACTGCTCTTTTCTCAATGAAAAAGGGTAAATCCCCAGGAATAGATGGGCTTTCAGTTGAATTTTATATTCATTTTTGGGACATCATTCAAGAACCTTTATTTTGTATGTACTGTGAATGTGTGGGTCAGAGAGAGATGAGTACAACTATGAAACAAGGCGTTATATCGCTAATTCCAAAACCAGATAAAGACAACTTATTGTTAAAAAATTGGTGACCTATCACTCTCCTTACTATTGATTACAAGATTCTGGCATCAGTTTATGTAACAAGATTAAAAATGGGTCTACCTCATATTGTTGCTGAAACACAATCAGGTTTCATTAAAGATAGACACATAAGTAATAACATCAGACTTATTGTGGATTTATTAGACAATGCAGATTCAGTACACTCAGAAGCATTCATCCTCTTTTTAGACTTTTACAAAGCTTTCGACACTATTGAACATAAGTTTCTTACAGAATGTCTTAAATTGTTTGGTTTTGGGAATCAATTTATAGATGCTATTGAAATGTTTTATAAAGGAATTAATAGCTCAGTGATTATCAACCACAGCACCTCTCATAGATTTGATATAAAGCGTGGTGTTAGGCAAGGATGTCCGATTTCACCTTTTCTATTAATTTTAGTTGTTGAATTATTGTCATTAAATATAGTACATGATACAGATTTCAAAGGTACCTCTATATTCAATAGAGAAATAAGAATTTCTCAACTGGCAGACGATACAACCCTCTTCCTGAAAGACAAAGAACAGTTGGTCAAAGCTATGAGAGCTTTATATCTCGTCAGAATTGTCCTATACCTTTCAAAGAATACAACTCGGTGATAAAAGCAATCCCCTCTGGCTTACTTAATTTAATGAAAAGTCACTTATCCTTCTGTGATGGAATTAGACCAGAGGGCACATCTGTTTTACTTTTGAATGGTATCAACATACAAGACAAGAAATGTAACAATAAACATATAAGGAAAGTCTTTCAAGATAAAAAGAGGTTTTCTCCACGAGGAAAATTTTATTGGCGCTCTCATTTAGAGGACATAGACTGGGAAAAAGCATGTCTTTTACCTCACAAATACTGTATTCATAACAAAGTAAAAAAGACTCATTTCAAAATTCTTCACAAAATATATCCTGTTAATTCTTTCATTTCGAAAATCATGGATGTGGACAGCTCTTGTGTTTTTTGTGGGCATGCTGACGAAACTTTAAACCATTTGTTTTTTGAATGTAATGTCACAATGCAATTTTGGTCAGACTTGTGTTCTCATGTCTTCACCCATGTTAACATGCTGTACTGTTTTTCCCTAAAAGATGTTATTTGTTATTATGAAAATAAGAAGAACAAGTGTCTTCAGTATTTAGTTAATTTTTTCATTTTATTGGGAAAATATTTTATTCATAAGCAAACATTTTCAGCCTCCAAGCCAACCTTTCCTCATTTTTTGATTGAATTTAACTCACTTTATAAATCCTTAGCCCTGGTTAAAAATAAAAAGAATACACAATTTTTAGATAACTATGAAAAGATATTTGATGTGCCCTCTTGCATTTAATGAAATTTATGATTGCAGAGATTGTTAAATACATTTATGTGTTGACATAATGATATTGTATTAGCTATTAGTATTATTTAGTTTGTTTTTTATTATTTAGGTTCTACCTTATCTGAGATCTCAGGAATGTATTTTGTAAAGTTATTTATTCTATTTATTGACTTTTTTTTTTGTATCTGTGAAACAGCTCATATGTATTGTGTTATGTGTTAGTGTTTGACATAATTTGTAAATTGAATATTTAAATAAAGTAAAAAAAAAAAAAAAAAAAAAGCCTCAATGGAAGACACTAGCAGGCATTCACTCAGACATTACTTGGTCAGTAGACATCTTCATGTCCGACGCTTCCATCCTACTGAACATGTACTGGTATACAGGGGGCAGGGGATCAGGCCGTGAGTGCAGAGACGCAGAGACGTATATAGAGACGGCTCTGGTGAGTGGTATTTAAGGCAGTTAGCGTTAAATACAAGTACTCCGCAGCGACTCTAGGGGTAGCTGTTTGACAAAACTGGAAAACTGCATAGTATGCCTTTAAACTCTGAACTGTAGTCAATGAACAATCTCATCGCAATTTCATGTAGCACCGTTTTTGACCAGGTGGAACAGTGCAGTGTGGGCGATGTGTGCTGTGGCGTCCGCTGTTGATTGGTTGGGTAGGGTAGGCAACCTGTAGTGGATTAGACGTTGCTAAATTCTTCTAAGATTGGTCTCCTGGAACTGTAATTCCACTTTTCCCCCATAGTCCCTTTTTTGGCTCATTTACTGTTTTTCTTGCATTGTAGGCTGCTACTTTCATATTTCCAGACTGTAGCCCTAAATTGTTGGCTAATAGTTTACACAGAATGACCACTCTGAGCCTTTTCAACAGGAAATATATTAAACTTAACATGAAATTGTTAAGTATAGTTAAGTTAGTTTTTATGTGTGTTTAATGAGTAACACGTTTTCATGTTGAGTGTGTGCTGGTGAGGTTGGACTGCAGCCACACAGTACAGTCAGATTAGCTGCTGGAAATGAGATTAGAGTTAATCTGTTGATGCTTCTTGGTGAACAGACAGGAAAGAAGTGATGGATCACAGTGCACACTGATGAACACTATTAATATGGTTGGTGTGGAGGGAAATATGTTACAGCCCAGTCAGCAAATATATGCTTAATGAAATTTAAAGTAGCCTACATCAGAAATTCTCAGGCGTAATGGGACAGGGATGAGCTTTGTCTGACAGGTTGTGTTGTAAACCCTGCTGGTCCTCTGAGGCAGTTGCTATAATAGTAAACTGACAAGAGATACTGTTTTAGAAGCCACATGACATAATTCATGCATGTCTTAATTTCATACAAATTGATCGAGGCTGCCACCCACCTAGAGCCGGGGGTTTCTGCCTTTTAAAAGAAACTTTTTCCTTGCCACTGTCACCAAGTGCTTGCTCTTAGTGGGAACTGTAAATCATTTTATAGAGTACATTCTACACCTGCTCTATAGGAAAAGTGTCTTGAAATAACTTAATTTATGATTTGGTGATATACAAATAAAACTTTGATCGCATGATTGGCAGATGGAGTTTGTAATTGGACTGAAAGCTGCATAAGTTTAGCTTGTATTATTATTATTATTACAATATTATTTTATCTCAAATAAATAGTCAGTAATTTATGTCAGGGTGAAATAAATGTAAATGAACCTGTACTTGTATAGCACCTTTCTAGTCTTCCGACCACTCAAAGTGCTTATTTTACACTACATGCCACATTTGCC